AGAGACTGTTACACTGCCACTTCCAATAAACTACACAAAAACATCTGTACAGCTTCAGTGCACACAGTTGTTGTTGGCTCTTTCATAAGGAGTGTGATGGAGGTGTAATCTGATGAAACTGCAGGTAATAATACATTCAGTACAAAACATGATATTGCTTCATAATCATTCATGGGTAATTTGACTTTAGGGAAAACGTAAAAAGCCAGGACACATCTCTCAAAATATTTTTTATACCTAAAGATGGCTAATGTTTTCATTTTTAAATTGTACAACAAATCATCAGCAGTCAGTGAAAGCAGTCTCAGTTTCCCTTCAAAGGAAAAGTTCAACTTTGTTTTTCTTTTTTACAAGAGTGAGATCAAAAGATAGTTCTTAAACTTCATGTGGACTGACAGAAGTACTGGACGCATGGATATACTTAAATTCATTAGAAAAAGAAAACAACAAAGAAATGGTTTCAGCATGTAACTCCTTATAAACCACAAACTGTTTTTTTTTTTTAACCCTGTTATGTACAGATTAGAAAAAATAGATACAAAGTGTTAATTGGTGATCTTTGGAGGTTATTCTGCCTTTTTTAACTTTTCAATATCAACTTTACTTCCACACCATAAAGATCAACAACCCCTACATGTGTCTGTTTACCTCTGACAGCAAAGTTTAAGTCAACATCGCGGCAGGTCATGGTCACAAGGTCGTTGGGGCTGAAGATCATGGTATCAGTGATTTCTTCAATCTTGGGTAGGAAGGACTGGGTTCCTCCTCCTCCTTCCTCACCTCCCCCCCCTCCTCCTCCATCGCTCTGTTTATGAACAGCATCCACAGCCAGCTCGCACTGATCATAGACAGAAGAGTGCACACAGATATATCAGTTACTGCAGCAGCTCTGAGAACTCGTGTCATTTCTGTAAAGGATTCCGAGAAAATCGGTGCAGTTTAACAAGACTTTTTACCTTAGAGCTTAAAGTCTTGAAGATTCCTTCATATGCTGTGCCGTTTTTCACTCTCACATCACAGGTGGAGCCCTGAAACCAGCAGTGAGGAAAGATTCAGTCTGTTTGTAGGTGGTGAGACTTAGGTGGTAAGACTTCAGACAGACAGACAAGTACACTACTCACCACGACTGCTGTGAGGAAATGAAGCATTCTGGCATTGTTGTAGACGCCTTCAAATACCTGCAGGAACAGGTGATATGTGAGCATGTTGTGCAGTGGAGAAGAAACTGCAGCAACAAACTGCTACAACAGAATTCTGTAGCATCCATAACACTGTTTAATGAAATAATATAAACTTTTTTAGGCCAATACTGATGACAATATTTGAGAGTTTAAAACATCTTTTTTTTTTAATGAAAGGGGCAAACACTTTTATATTCTTTTACTTAAGTGTTGAGTTGAAACAATTAGTTTGTTAATCAATTCGTCAGTTGACAGAAAAATTATTGGCAGCAATTTTGTTATATTATTATTTCACAAGTAATCTTTCAAGGGGGAAAAAAATCAAAATGTGCTAATATCCAGCCTCATACATTTTTAGTTTTGTTTTTTTCATTTATGAGAGCAAATACACTGTATTTGGGTTTTGAACTGTTGTTTGCACAAATCAAGAAATGTTCCAACCTTTTATAGATAAATCAATAATGACAATTGGTTGTTAGTTGTAGCCCCGATTTTGTTATCAACAAATTGTGACCAAGATCTAGTGTTGGGGACACTTCACATTGTAAAAATAGTCTTGTCAGCACACTCTGGTGGACAAACTTTGTAATTGAGACAGCTTCTGAACAATTCTTGTAATTTGTCTTATCAGCTGACATTTAAGTCAATACCAGTACATCTGTCACAAGCTAATATTTATCAGTATCTGTCATCAGTAATTGATCAGGTGTTAATGTACACATAAGTCTAAGTTAGAGATTATGTAACAAATGTGCTTTGTCTGTTTTTTAGGATACAGGACGGTTTTGTTTTTTTTTTAAATTTCAAACACTTTTGCACTCCCACAAGACTCTTTTAGACTTTATGATTTGTCACTTCTGCCTGCTCTGTATACTGCATGTCTGTCAGTTGTCTGTTGGTCTTCCTGAGGTTTATCACCATTAAAAAAGTATTTGAGATAATTAAAATTGGCTCAAACTTGATGAACTACAACAGTAAAATGCTATTTTCATATTAATGCATAAGAATTAGCAGCACAATGTACATCTCTTTTGCTTATACATGTACTAAATTGTTATTTACATTGCAGATTATTCTTTCTGCAATTACTATCCACCACAAATACCTAGTTTTATTTTATACTTTTCTTATGTTACATTTTATACCTTAAGTTTAACTTTTGCACTATTTGTCTTAGAATTTCATTTTTACTTGCATTTTGTTTTACATATTTAATGAGCAGGACTTTTCCTTGCAATTACGTTTTACACTTGAGTATTGCCACTTCAGTTTAAGTAAAGGAATTGAATACTTCTTCCATGACTGATCGCTGTCATTAATTTAGGGCGTGATGGCAGTTTTAGAAGCCATCTTTTTGTTTACATTTGATGCACGGACTGTGCCTATTAGGACACTTCGGCAGACTGGGTTTTCATTGTTAGTCATGAGAACAGCTAAAGAACTGGATGTTTACAGGACGATCTGCAGCTTTTTATTCTCCCTGACCACAAAAATCACTCTCACTTTTCACATGGATCCTTGGAAAACATGACAACACCTAGCTGTGATAAATGATTAATCAAGTTTATATTCTGAATAAATACACTGAGCTGTCACCACTTACTAAGCTGCTTACAGGAGTTGACTGTGATGGAGGCTTCATTGTGTTCCTGGTCCTGCAGAGGGGGGGAGAAACAAATAAACATCAGCTAAAAGGTTTCAATTCCACTGCTCCCTCAGTGAGAACAATAAACACAAGCCTCAAACAGGCAGCACCACAGCCTTACTAGCTAACATGCGAGCTCCTCAAGCGTTGACACTGCATGATCTGGTGCAAATTAAATCAGCTATTATAATCTAAACTGTCTCTCTAAAAGATAAAGTACGAAAAGCTAAATGTTATTGTTGTACAGAATAGTAAAAATCCGCTAGCTAAGTCAGCTAACGTCGCTAGCTTAGCGTAGACGTCGACTTTTAGCAACAGAGACACAAACGAACCGCAAGAAACGATGTCGGCATCACATTAGAAACTGACAGCTGAGCAAGTCTAAGTATTTAAGTTATACTTTTTAGTCATGTGCATCCCTGTTATTCCAGTCTCGTCGTTTCAGTGAAAAGTCACACGTTTTGACAGGCCAAAACACGATACACCGCTGAAAAACAACAAAACACGGCGACAGGTGCGTTTGATTTGGCAACACCCGGCAACTGCTGTACATGTGATACGAGTCGGCTCTGGCAGACGGGCTGGTTCCAGGCGTTAGAAAGCAACGAAAATATTAAAATGTACTTACAAAATACTTAATTATGATTAAAAATGGCCATTTTCCACGATGAAAGTACTGCCGAAATCGGAATCATACCACATATGAAGTGCAAGTCGAAAAATACCGGGCTTAACCGAGGTACTGTAACCAACGTACCAATCGCAAACCCCGCCTATTGATTTAATCTTAAATCTGACTGGACAAAACTTCCTGTCAGTCATTTCTGACATTTTTCTCTTATTGGTTTAGTTTCATGTCAATCATTTATCCGACGAGCTGTCCTGACAGAGGTCATGTGAGGAAACTGATGCTAGAGAATGTTGTTCATTAGTTTTAGAAAGGAAATTACGAATTAGAAATTTATTGACACAAATATGAGCTGGATTAAATATAGTTTTATCCCCATGACAAGCAACAGAAAATATTTTAAAAGCTCCTTCTTAACTGACGAAAAGGGAATGAAGAAAAAAGAAGAAATACAGCAACAAGAAAAACAAAACTATAAATACACTAAACATAAAGTGTTTTAAGTACATAGCTACTATTTTACTAAATATTAAAACAGCATAAAATGTCATTCCTGACCTCAGAAACAGTAGAGACAAATAATAACTTTAATAATAATAGCTTTATCCTTATCTTTCAACCACATCTCACCGTTTTCACATGCAGAGGAAGACAGTGCAATGTGGTTGAAAGCTCATTATAGTCTTAAATTTTTGGCCACTACAACAGCTTTAGACAACAAGGAATAGGCAGTCTGTTGGTTGTTCTTCTCCCTCATTAGCCAGACATCAAACCAGTGGCTGTTGTATGAATGTGACATTTTGTGAGACACGACCTTTTGCCCCTGAGATTATGAATAATACCTATTAAACTCTACATTGACCTACTGTGTTATTCACACAGTCAATCTGTCAATAAACACAGACGCCCTGCTCTAGATCAGGTTACTGACTGCAAAAGTGATCAATTTTACGCTGACGACCAAATCTCAAAAATGACTAAAAAAGTGTCTGGAATAGGCCTATAGTATTTCGCAAAATCTCGTAGATTTTTAAGTTTAAATTGTTGTTTATTTAATCCATGAAATGAACTCGAACCACTAAACCTCTTCAATCTGACCATGAGGTAGACTGCACAGGGCCCCCACAAAGAAAGAAAGAAAAAAAACCTGCACAGACTCAATATTTAGTCAAGTTGTACCATTATCCTTCAATGTTGCCAGAGGGTCACTTACACTTTTCTGGATTGGAAAATAAATATAAAAGCCAAGTTCCAACAGTATTTTCCCCTGTAATGGAAGACTGTGGGGACATCGACTTAATTAAAGTTTGAATCATTTCATTCTTCTTTTGGAGCCCAAACGATTTTAAATCTGAATAATACAACTGGTGAATTACATTGTTTTTAATATCTGGTGAAATAGTTATTATTGAAGGAAAAAAAGAAAAATGACAATATAAAAGCTGATTTATAACTTTTCAACAGAAGTGCATCCCTAATAGTGTATGTGATTTACAAATAACATTTCCATCTTTGAGAGTGAGAAAAAAAAGACCACACGCTGTTGTATGTTTCACTATATTTATATTATATCATTAAATTCAATGTAGTACCTGAAACTAACCACACAGGGTGGACAGACAACACTGCCCGCCCTCAACACACGGTCCCAGCAAAGAGAGAAAAGAGACAGAGAAAGGCACAAAGAGTTTTGAAACTGAGAAAAGGACACTGAACATGATGATTAAGCTGGGGGGTGGGGGGGGGGTGGGGGTGTTGAGGTGCATATAGACAAATACATGAGCAAAGAAAAGACTGATAGAAATGACTGGGTGGGTTATATGGTGCATAAAGAAACAGGCAAGCTCTAAACTGAATGATAAATGAAGACAGGGCAACACAAATGCAGGCTGATGACGAAGACGACAGACACAGAAAGGCACAAGTAGAAAAAGTAGGTATTTTCACTGACATTTTCTGCTAATTGTATATTCTTTTTACCCTTGATGAATGGAGGATGAGGTTGAGGAGGAGAAGACAGCATGAAAAGAGTGAGGATACTGTAACCTTGAGAATGAGGCATTATAGCAAATCTTATATATATTTTTGTTTCCTTCTTTTTATCCCAAAAATAAAAAAAGGCACAAACACATTTTCAATTACAAGATGGAGTCGGAACAAGTGTTACATGGAGTAAGCATACAAAATAAAAAGATGTCTTAAAAACAAATAAAATTAATACTATTATTCTGACCGTCATTATTATTATCATTATTATTATTATTTCCATCAATATTATTGTTATTGGTATCATCAATAATTTCTCTCCCAGTTCAGCTTTTTTTTTCTTAATGTCAGAGAGAAAAAGAAGAGAGAGAGAGAGAGAAAGAAAGAGAGACATTTACTGAGTGATGCTGCTGAGTGTGACTGAGGTAAATGTTTCCTGCCTGCTCTACTTCATGTGCCACTTAGACCCAAAACATTTCTCTGTTGTGTTGCGATGTCAAACCAAACTCCACTGAAAAATCAGTCACTTTTATGCTGTCTGGAAAATGTGTTCTTTTGAGAAACATTTATACAGATAAAATCCCTTTTTAAAACATTTTAATCTGACCACAATCTTGTTCAACTAATATTCAAGAAAATGGGCAGTAGAGTTGCAACTAACATCATGTTATTTTGCTATTAATTGTTTAGTCTAGCAAATGCAAGAGAAGTGTAAAACCACACACACACACACACACACACCAGTCACTTGAACTTGCAATTTCTTGCTCCAAATGTTTTCTGCTTGTTTAGTTTTATATATATCTCTATTTAGTCATTCTTTTACTTAATCTATATGTACTATTGCTGTCTTTGGGCCACTGCAAAAGCTGGATTTCCCCTCTGGCGATTAATAGAGGTTTACCATATCCTAATCTCTTTAAACAGATGTCTGCATATGCATGCAGAATCTGCAGGTGATGGAACAATAGTCTAGTGTCGGAAGTGTTCTGGTTTCAGTTGTACACTGTTTGTAGTCCAAGTAGTATTGACCAATCACGTTTTAACAAAAGGTAAACAGTCCTTATGGAGAAGCAGAACGCATTGGCCAAAATGCTATCTTGGAACCCATCGGCTATCATTTAACAACAAGTTAGGTTAATGTTAGCTTTTTCAAAAAATTGGCAGCATTCATATGCAGATATTTGTTTTTTAGAGATTAGCCGAAACGACTAGAGCACTAAGGAAGAAATGTTGGCCCCAATATCCGCTGGCTACTACGAATCAGCCCGAAATACTGGCCCTCACTCCCAGAGGCTTTGTCGTCATCAGACAATAGCCAATGGGTTCCAAGACTTATCTTATCTTAAAATGTTGTTCAAAATTTCTAAGAGCTGTAGGTGTGGTCTTCAAAACATTTTATCTGAAACAAAAGTCTAAAGATATTAAATTTACAATCAAGTAAATCAAAAAGCAGCAAATTCTCACATTTCACAATCTGGATCCAACAAATATTTTTTGCTTGATAAATGAAAACATATTTAAATCACAGACTGTATAGAGAAGATGGACAATATGACAGTTCCCCCGAAATGAAGCCAAAACATCTTGATCACCACAATATAGGTCATACACCTTGCCCCCTTCAAGTCAGCTGATTGGACGTGGGCGAGTAGATAATGGCTAAATTTTCATTTTTGGGTGCCCTATCCCTTTAAACTTCAAGGTACACCTCAAATAATTTTTTCCCATGGTTTCTGTAATCTTAGGTAGTTTTTATGATGTAATCTTAGGTAGTTTTTATGATGTTTATACTGATGTATGTTCAAGTGTTTGTTTTTCGGAATCAATTCAATCCACAATTGGTCGGACAGGTGTTTGGGTGGTAACACGACACGGCGGAGATCGCTACTGCGCAGACTCTGGCTCCAAATGACATCACCAGCGCAAGATAGCAGAATATTCTGGCTTTATGTTTGTACAGTGGAGTTAAGTGGAGACACGTCGTCCATCTTTATGTACAGTCTAAGACCTAAATCAACATTAGTGTTCTTATTATTATTTTACATTCAACCATACATTGTGTTTATTCAAAATTCACATTTCAGTTTGGCCTTGTAGTTCTTCCAATCAAACGAGCATAACCATGTATTGATGTTAATAAGCTACATGTAGAACCTTTGAAACAATATAATCTTTTAAATAGAGGTTGCTGAGACGTGGTCTCTGTAGCAGTAAGAGTAAAAGTTTTGGGTCTACCTGCCACAGTACAGATGTCTGTAGAGTATGTTTGGCCTCTGGCTAGCGTGTGCTGTCTTGGCAGGACCACTGTGAGGTATCAGGACTGCTGGCTTCACAGCGCTCGAGCTCTCAATGCTGTTCACGTACGAGAAAGAGCCTGCTACTGTGAGTCGTACCGGCAAAAACAAAGCTTATCTGACTAAAAAAATAAAATAAAAGAAATGTACCGCTATAGTTAGTGTTGTAAAGCTGCTCTCACCCATCTCTCCATCTGCTTAGTCTTCTCTCTCTCTCTCGTATAGTGTTAGTACTTTTACACCTCCTCCTCCTCCTCCTCTTCTCCTCCACCTTGCTAACAAAAGAAAAATACTGGTTATGAATGGCTATGATGTACGCCGCCTCATCCAATCTCACATTTGCTCACACACACACACACTCAAACATAAACACACATACACACTCCTCCTCCCCCTCCTGGTCTTCCCTTCATCAGAAGAAGGAGTATTGGTTGTCGATGGCACGGGGCGCCCTCGCTCCGTCCCTCTCTTCTCCCTCCACAGCTTCTAGTTGGCGGAGGGGAGTGTCCCTGTCCCTCTCCTCCCAGTCCTCCACTCCTCCTCCGCTACCACCTCCGCTGCCTCCACTTCCTCCTCCTCCTGCTCCTCCTCCTGTCGTCGCCATCGTCACCACTGGCGCGCCTCCTCCTCCACCTCCTCCACCTACTCCTCCTGCCTCCATCTCGTTTCCTCTCTCCTGGGGAGGAGTTGGGGGCGGCGGCCGGCCTGGCGGCAGTGGAGGAGGCTGAGGTGGGCTACGGGGTCTGCTGGTCAAGTCTGCATGGAGCAGAAACAGATGAGAGAAAAAGAAAAGAAAGAAAAAAAAGGGGGAAATGAGAGAAAAGTGTAAATAAAGAGAGGCAGAGGAGGAGGAGGAAATAAGGCCAAAAGTGTAGTGAAGGAGTGAAGTGACAGCATAGTCGGAGGAGAGGAGGGTGAGAGGCAGGAGAGAAAAAGAGAAAGTGACAGTGAGTGGCTGGTTAGGTGGAAGAAGTCTGCAGTCATGGAGTCCATGGGAGTCATGGAGGCAGTCCGATTCAACAAACACACAAACACACACACACACACACACACACACACACACACACACACACACACACACACACTGTTTTAACACTGTTAGGCAATGTAATCCATAGTAGAGATGTACACAGACAATCCAGAGCAGGGCTGCTACTGATAACTTCTTTAATTAATTCATTCACATCAGAAAAATGTCCCTCATAATTTCCCAGAACTCGTCGTGATGTCTTCCAAACAACTTGTTTTGTTTGCCCAAAACCAAAATATATTCAGTTTACCATCAGAAAAGACAAAAAAAGCACCAAATCTTCGCATTTGAGAAGCTGGAACAGGAGAATTTAAAAAAATGTGACTTTAAAAATGTACTGATTATAAAAATAGTTTGACCAACTAATAATTTATGCTTAAATCCAGGATTTCCTGGCGTGTATTACAATGAGGGCATGAAATGTCTCTTTTAAATATCCTGATAAAATATTAAACTTCAGGGGGAAAAAAGATATGCAATTGATTAAACTAAAAGCTAGCAGCTAAATTAATAGTAAGATGAGACTGATGTGTTTGATTCAGGTCAGCAGGTAATCTACTGATCGATGACTCTAGATTCACTTCACATTTACTAATAAGAGCTTTAAAGGGAAACCTAAATTAAGAATTCCAATATGGTATTTACATGACCAAGAATATTTAATCAATATCTGTGAACATGAGCTGGTCTTTTTTCAACGGCAGTATCCAGAGAAGTCTCAAACTTGTGATGTCATCAAGTATAAAGTCTGGAGCTGCTACACAGACAATGAATCTTATTCATACTTATATTTTTTCTTCTTATACTTAATGACATCACAAATTCAGTTTTAGCACCCTTGTTTTTAAATTCGGGAGAGCATTGTTCATATAAAGGGGCAGACTTACAGCTGAGCCTGTCACTGTCAGATGGAGAACACATTTTACTCAACTAAGTCAATGTAGAGTTGGGGGCACTGGGGAATAGAATCACAGAGCATGAATTTATCACTCCAATTTACAACTGTCCACAAGATGGAGCACGGAAAGAAGGCGCAGCATACAGTATAATGTCTGGGAATGGGCAAGCCACCACACTTTTAATACGGAATGTCGATAACCAGAAAAAGAATATGCTTTTTAAATTTAATTTCCTTCACCAAGAGGCCTCTAAAGTAGTCACTTGCTCAAAAGATTAAGTCTGAACATATTTGAACCCAAAAAGTATTTTTATGTTTAATTCAAACATAACCCAAGTAGCGTAATTCTAAATTAAAAGTTGTACAATAGTCTGTAAGGCAGCAAACACCCTTACAAGTATCTGTCATTTCTCTATCTACACATAGATAACTGTCTATAGATGGATTACTATAGCAACCCAAACTGTTTCCTCACATAAGTATCTACTCCACATTATTGAAGAAAAAAATAATTGCTCTTTTTAGTAAGGAAACAGGTCATGAAGTGCATCAGATGAACAGTGACATACAGACTGAATACTTAAGTTTTTTCAGGTTTGAACGGTATTCTGAATTTGAAATAAAAAGTGACAGTCCTGTTGGCATCAGACCATCATTTCTCTCCACTGTGCAGAAAAAGACATTATGTTCAGCCTACGTCACATCTGCACAGCTTGTTGGTGAGTTCCAACTCTGTGGTGGGCAAGTTTAAATTAAAATTAAGTTTTCTAGATTAAAAAAAAGAATAAAAGAGTAATCAATGATCAATCAGTTCTTTTAGTATTGCACTTAAGTCTTATTTTCTCTATTTATTCTTTTCTTTCTTTATTCATTTTTTATTTATTTTTGTAGTTTATTTATATCAGCTTCTGTCCTGCAGAATCACATTGCCAAATTTAAATGCATATTGTGTTGAAATAAATAACAAAAAAACCTGACGTGTCAATGTGTCTGATCTCAATAAGCACATTAATTATTCACCCACTCACTCCCAGACAAAAACTCTCTCTCTTTCTCTTGCTCTCTCTCTCAGCCGAGTCCGGTCTCACTTACACACAGTCAGAGATGGGGGTAGATGGAGAGTCAGGATGGCGCGTAGTGATGGCATCACAGACTGTAGGCCGACTGCCTGCCCTGTCCCGGCCTGCAAGGGATGAGCCAACGGATACAACAGACAACAACAACAGAGAGGTCAGAACAGAGATGGGTGCTGTAACACATGAGCAGATGGAGAATGCTGCGTGTGAGTGTGAATATTTGTGGTTAGTTTCTATTACTAACAATCACTTTTAACACATTTCACACGTTGAACTTTTACTGTGAAGCCATTTCTATTTAAGAAATAAACGAGCACAGTGTGATGCTTCTTATATAAACAAACAGATGTTGTTTGAGATCTACAGCTACATGGAGAAGAGAGGAAGAGCAAAGGATGACATGAGAGATGAGGAAAAAGAGTTAAGATGTGGCTGGTGTCTTCTGTTAGATATCATGCAGTATGTGTGTAAAAACAGCTGAGAGAAAGATGTGACCAGCATGCATGTGCACACAGATAAAAACACATTTGATGGATTTAGATCGAGCACACACACCTTGATAGTAATTTCCCAGATTTCTACAGGCAGTGAACACCTTAAGACTAGCTCCAACTAAGCACATGCTAACACACAACAACAATTGAACTGACTGACTTGTGTATGTAGTTCAGGGTTTCCCACACATTAATTTATTTGTGGCGGCCTGCCAAGCTTAAAACATCTGCCACCACATTTGATTTTCTATTTCTGCAGCTGGACTGATCATTAGGAGCGCTGTTGGAATACTGTCAGTAGTTGCTCCACACTGTCGCAGCGCAAAGCATACTCTAGGCGCAAATGGGGCAGCAGAACATCAAACACAGTGAAAGTGAAACTTACACGCACATTGCACTGGTTTAAAAATTTGCTCTCACTCACACACTGCTGAGCTGCTCCTCTCGTCTATTGATCTGATCAGCTCTGACTGAATCAACTGATCAATTACTCATCCCACAACTCAAAACTCTAAAAGCTGTTGCTAAGGAAAAAAGAAGAGTTCTGCCTGTGCTGCATTCGCAGACCTGCAAAAACCTCCAAATTTAGAGAGGTAACAGACTGCTACACAAGGACACTCGGGCAAGAAAAAAAATCATGGATTCGCCCGCTGTAATTCTGAGGGATTGAACCACACACAGAAAAAACAGTAGGTTGATTGATGCACATTATGTAGACTCAAAGTTCACAAGTATGAGTTCCACTTGGAAACTTTTAGCCTAGACAGTCTGCAACATATGCTGAAGTAAGCACAACAAACTGATTAGCAATCAGTCACACTATGTCAAGCACAAATGAAACAGCGGATTTGGGAGACCCGCCTGCAGGTTTCAGCTACTACAGAGGATCGTGTCTATCTTTGACACTTGCACTATTGTCTGCTCAAAATGAATAAAAAGGATCTTTATGCATTTGGTCATTTTCCGCTGTACCGAACTTGCACCTAACCATGATTTCTCTGTACAGTTATAACCCTAATAGCTGACTGTACTGAACTCTCTCTAGGGGTCTGCTGTACAGGATGATTGGTCCCTGATGTCTGTTACTTGGATTCATTGGGAGACTGACACCTTAAACAACTCAAGGTTGTCATTCGCATTGCAAGGAAACTAATTATGGACTAATACATATAAACATAAACAGAAAAAAAACACAAGCAAATCCTCTTTCCCACCAGATACTTGTGCACTACACATGTAACCTGTATCCCAGTAAGAAAGAGGAAAAACCATGGTTTACACTATTTCAATTGATGATTTTGACCTAGTTTTAGTTGTTGAGTTGCTGCAACCCCCTGAGTATTCCTGCTACCCGTGCTCCATGCCATGTGTGCAGAAAATAATAAACAGATAAACACATATATTTAAAATTTAATTTTTTCAGTACTATGTTCTTTAAAAGGTCATGGCACATTATTTTTAAATATTGTTTTTATATGCCCCATGCCCAGCCAACACAGAATTTGACCAGTTTCAAACTACAGTGGATTTACTTCATACTTTTCTACTCATGCTACAACTTGGTGGCCTGTGCTTCAAAGCTCTTAACCTCTGATGCACCAACGCTATGTGCAAATAAAATTAACTTAATTAATTTTCCTTACAGCTTCTATCCAGTTGTGTTTATCTCCTCCCACCAGGTATACCCAAACAAAAATGATGTTCTTCTCCACTGGAAGAGTTAGACAAAGCCTGTTTATTTTTATTTCAAAATTAATCTGGGGGCATTTTATACCTTTATTTGATAGTAACAGAGGAGAGAGACAGGATACGTATGGAAAGGGAATGAATGACATACAGCAAACAGTCCAGCCAGCTGGGAAATGAACTGGAGACTCACTGCCCAGGGCGTTTGTTTCACTAACCTGCTATTGGGTCACCCAAACAAAGCCTGTTGGTGTTTCTGATGGGTGCTTAAATTTAATGACAGACATCTCCTCTTTTGAATCTCAGATCGCAAGGATTAATAATTACCACATTATTTATCTAAAGAAAGAAAAAATTCCTGCCTTTTTTTGTTTTATGAAAATGTGCTTCTTCATTTATGCAAAGTTGCTGACTGCAAGAGAGCCACAATGCTCAGTGCTCACTGCTGATTAACAGCTGCAGGTTGGAAAATAATGACATTAAGAAAGAAGTGTGTTTTGTTTTCTCATAGGCTGCATCACTGATGAACTGACACAACTCTGCTTGCTGTTTACGAGAGGCTGAAACTGTTTACTTACATGCTGCATATAAAGATATTCATAATCCAAGCAGCTGAAACATAAGGAGGGAGTCCTGGTCTGATTTATTTATCTTTTTTTTGCCCAGCACAACTTTTTTCTTCTATTATTACAGACTGATCGGACAGACTGATCTTTTCTTTATATATTTGGAGGGTGGAGTTCACTCGTACCTGGCTGTCGAACAGCGGTGGCACCCACGAAGCTGATGAGTGTGACGTCTGAGGCGCCACCGGACTCCAGGGGGATCGGGTGCACCCGGAAGTGCTCCAACATGTCAAAGATGGACTGGAACCAAAGGTGCTGCACTCTGCACTGACCGTCCTCATTCAGGGACAGACGAAGGTGCTGAAGGGAAGAAAACAAAGTAAGACAAATTTCAGAACATTTACTTATTTGTCTTAACACACACAGCTGACTTCCCGGACTCACCTTGGCCTTGCCCTGAAAGTTAAAGGTGAGGACATATTCTCCACGCCTTGTCTCGCTCTGGCGAACCAGGAAGACACCGTGGCTCGCCGGGCCTCCGGCCAACACCAGCTGAGCAGCTTTGAGACGGGACAGGGTGCCGTGGAACCACTGACACTCACTGAGTGGGTGCTCTACTGCCTCTGCAGTGGTCACCTCCGAGAACAGGAAGGATCCTGGATGGATGAATGGTACATATAATATTTTAGTGCTTTAAAGTTTAAAAGATGGTTCATGTAGGATTTTAAAAGCAAGCAAGTATCCAAGTGCTAGAGATATCGGCTGAAGAGATGTCTGCCTTCTCTTGAAAATATATGGCACTCAGAGTTACTCAAGACAATCCACAGACCTTGTTGTGTCCAACATGTCCAACATTCAAAAACTCACACCAAAACAATCTAGACTGATAGGCAGCACTACAGGTAAAAGGAAAATATGTATTTTTCATTTGGGGGTGAACTGTCTCTTTAAATAAAATGTCTTTGGATCATAGTCACCTGTGGCGTCTGGCGTCTCGGCAAAAGGTGTGCCCAGACTAGCTCCACCTCCGCCAAGAATCCGACTGTCTGGTTCGTCGAGAGGGGCTCGAGGTGGTAGTTCGGGTGGAAGAGGATCCATCAGAGGTGAGGAGCCTCCAATACCTCCATAACACACTGAGACAACAAAAAAATCACCAAAGAGAGGTGTAAACTACATCATAAAGCAGATAAATATACATACAGATGCCATTTACTTGACTTTTTGTGTTTGTGATTTGTCCCTTCATTATTTTACCTCTTTCTTATGTGATGTAATGTGATTTTATGTTGTCATGTAAACTGCTTTTGATGACTGTCTGCTTAACATTTGCATTTTATATGTCCTACTTTGCATGATGCTGCCTTACTCTTTATCCTGTTTTGCTTTCTCTGGTTCTAGTTTTACATGTTGTGTGTTTAATTCTTGTTTTATTGGCTAATTTAACATCTGGCCAAGGGACAAGGGTTGGAAAAAGTGCCTGTTGGCAAACACTGGTATATTTACAATGATGCTGATCAATGTGTACTGTCTCTGAAAATAAACGAATTAAATGTTACAGCTACAAACCAGGCTTAAGTAGTTTACAATTACAAGTCTCACAACCAGGGTTCAGAGCCAGATATCTGGTAATTTAACAAGACAAAAGACACTCAAACTGAACAATAATGACTACTGTACACTATTACTCACAGATCTTGCTAAGTCACCTGCCACACCTTCACAAGTCTGCTTTCAAATTGTGTATATTCTCTCACAAAGCCTTCATGTTAACAAAAACATCTTAAAGAAGTGCTTGTTTCATTCACAAGGTGGAATCTTCTAGCTAATTATGAGATCAAGTGTTGGCAAAATGACTTTTTTATGTTATGTGTCACTAGTAATAAAAGGAAGTTTATGTTACTCTCTAAACACTGCAGCCCCACTGTACTGCAACACACTGTAAAGCTCACAGTATCAGTATCACGGATGTACCTTGTGAAAGACGGTCAACAATCTCAGGCGTCCCACTGATGTCCAACGGCCCCACACACACACCTTCAGCATCTTCCTGTTCACTGTGGTGGAGAGAAAGTAGGTAGTAACCTAATATTGTCCCACACGTTGCTCGTCCCAAACATTAATGCCCCACGTGCACCCAGTCATTCTTTCAGTACCTGAGACAGATGCCGTTCCTGATGTCACTCAGCCAGGCTCTCATCTGTACAGCATCGCGTGTCTCAATCACGTACTGTGCCGACCCTTCCAGCTGGAAAGTATTAAAAGAAAGAAGGCAAAAATGAGGGGTGAAGCTGATATTGGTTAGTGGACAGTCCATCATTAAACTAAGTGCACTGACTGTAAAACTGCATCTCCTTTTACCCAAAGATCCTTGTATTTTCAGGTTATGTGCTTTAGTTGGTTCATATTCTAACACAGCAATTCCCCTACCATTATATTGGGGGCTAGCCAAACCAGCCAGACTGGCATTAATTACTGATTTCATTTATTTGCTTTTTAAAATAAATACATAGGTATTTATAAATAAACTTGACATATAAGGTTGAAATATTGTACCTTAATCATGTAACATTCAAGTATTGCATTTCTCATAGTGTGGTGTTATTATTCTGTTAGATTTGTTCTGTTTATCTGACTGTTTATCTTTTCATTGTTCTTTATCTTTCAATGACTGCATATTATTTATTTCAGTTGTATCATACGGAGTTGCAGCAGGACACACCTCCAAAAACCATTTAGTGTCTAGCAAAAATCGAAGGAAGTCAAAAATATTTCAGTTCTTTAATAGAGACGACAACCATCAACATGACAGCAGAGACAATGCAGAGACATCAGCAATGCCTCTGGACCACCTGAGAAGCACAGGAACTGAGCGAGACTGCTGTTGAACTGGCTGTCACTCGCATCTCTGTGGTCAAACCAGCTGCTGCTAAAGTTTGAGTTTGGCATTCAATGAAAGGGCCAGGGATAAATGTGACTAGGTAAGCTTTTCAAAATAAGGCGTTAACACTGAGTATATACAAAATATGTATCAGTAAATTAGAGTAAATGGATTATATATGTACAGGAAGAATAACACATGTAATTGGTGAAGAAAAGTAAGACAGCAGAACTGATGGAGGGATGAAGAGGTGATTACCTGCAGCAGAAAGGTGTTCTCCTTATCAGGCACCTCTAGCGCTGTGGTGCTCCTCACATCCACGATTGAGCAGCAAGGGACAGTCAGCCGGGGCTTCGATGACTGGGGAGGCAAACCAATCAAAATCAGCGACTGCTGTTCCTCCATTAAAGTTTACTACTTAGTTATCACAACAAAAACTGAACTGTAAAAAACATAGCTGTTATACAGGGGGGTCATGGGCTGGAAAATTTTTTTGTCTTTGCAAGGAAGTCACTGCTGCCAACCAAGAAAAAGTACAACACATAACCCTCTGTAAAACTACAACTTGTTATTTTTACACTTTGTTTTTATGTGATTAAATAAGCCAGGCATAACATGTTAACTGTGAACTTCAGTGAAGCTGGTAAGTGGATTTTGTTACCTTTGGGCAGAGTCAGGCTAGCTGTTTCCCCCTGTTTTCAGTCTTATGCTAAACTGAGCTAACCAGCTGCTGGCTGCAGTTTGATATTTAGCATCCAGTCACAAGAGTGGTATCAATCTGAACATCTAATTTTCTGCAAGAAAGCAAATCGCTAAAAATGTCAAACTACTCCTATAAAGACACTTGCCAACCAGGGATTTTGTCATTAACTGTTTAATCTATAAAATGTAAAAGAAAATAAAAAATGCCCCTCACAACATCACAGAGTCAAAAGTCCAAACCAGTATACGAGTTTAAACTGGCTTGATTTCATGCAAACCAGTTGAACTGGCATTTGTCATTATGAAATGTTGTGGCTAAATAAAAAATAACCGACTTCAGCAACTTGTGTGGACAGTGTCATGGCGCTTGGCACTTGTATGGCATTAGTAATAAGCAATATGTCAACGTGAATAACATATTATGTTTGTTTATAAATGCTAGACTAGCGGAACCACTAGAGTCTGACAAGCTGTGCGCCATTTACTGCCAGGCCAAGGCTGAAACCAGCTTAGAGCTCGGTCTCTGCCTGTCTGTCTGCTTGCAGGTGTGTGTATGTGTCTGCTTGTCTCTCTGTTTAGACACTACTGACAAATATGTTGAATAAGTACGTAATTTAAAAAAACAAATCTGAATTTGTAAGAAATAAAATGTCAATAACACTTTCATTTTAATTTTCAAGTTGTTAGAAAACTGCATTTTAATTGTAAGGGTGACTTAAATAATTCTTTCATAAATGGAAAATCTGGCTACACTGTTTATATTGCATTTACTTTTTTTTTTTTTAATTTAAATTTTGAACCTGAGGTTGTTTTAACCGAACCAAATACATTAGATGTGACACACTGTTAGTCACTGCTTTGATTTGTGTGGTACCCCAGGGCTCAGTACTGGGCCCTCTTTTTTCCCTGCAAAGACATGCAGGCTGGGGATAGGTTAATTGGTGAATAATTGTGAAACTGAGTGTGAATGGTTGTCTGTCTTTATGTGTCAGCGCTGTGATAGTTTGGCGACCTGTCCAGGGTGTACCCCGCCTCTTGCCCAATGTCAGCTGGGATAGAGCAAAAAAGACAAGGACGAAGAACAAAAAAACCTATAAAATACTTACCAACATTATGAAAAGGGAATACTGAAAGGGATACTTTTCCCATTTTCAACCAGCTCTGTATTAAAATAATGTGTGTAATATGAATATGTATAAATAAACTGTGGTAAACTTCAGTCCATCTTACCAGCACCCAGATCTCCCTGCTCATCTCTTAACTCAAATTCGCTATATGATGCAATTTTCTCTGGCTCTGGGGCTGTTGCCTGAACTACAGATTGTACCTCCATATTTTTGGATGCCCATCACCACAGACACAAAGAGTATAGAAGCAGATCGAGAGAGAGACCCAACCCTCTCTCAAACGCAGACCAAAGTCACATAGGCCTTTCTGACAGCAGACATTTTGAGCTATCATAAGGCGTTACTATAACACTAATGGTGGTTCTGCCCTATCAGGTGTTCCAGTGAGTATGACAGGTAGCAAGCATGCAAGAGACCAGCAACCTGGAAAAAAAGCAGCTAAATGGAATTCAGCCATCATTAATTTCATTATTCACACCTGTGTTTTTCCTACTGTGACAAGTCAAAATGTACTCTGTGAAAAAGGCCTATGAACCAGTAAAACTAAGCAGCGTGGATCAAATATGAAACAAGATTCTGTTATCATGTCGCCTGTATACGTGACCCAAAATGTTTTCAGAAACATATTTTAGCTTACTGTTTAACTGTAATTTGAGATAATTTGGTACAAGCCAGCTGCCATATTGTTTCTTGTAGAAAAACAGCCAAGCTAAATTATGTCACACACCAGCAGGAGCATTTACTGGTCTGGTCTGGCACAGGGCATTCTGGTAGTTGTTGGTTTTCTGCCTCTTAAGCAAGCGCACATGCCACAGCCCTTTTCCTCTGTGTTCTCTAGTCAAATAGCACCAATTTCAAACGTATTTACATCCTTCTACTGCATAGACAGCCTAGTTTTATGAAAAGACCATCTTTTCAGCAGTGAAATGCTTCTTTAAAAACAATATATTAAATAAAAAAGTGGGAGATTTTTTTACTGTCCCAACTCAAAAAGATAAATTAATTAATCAATGAAAACTTGTTCCAACTCTAGAAAACATGTTTTAATGTTTCACACTTACTTTAGGTGGAATGAAGAATTCCAAGTAGTACTCCTCTCCCCGCTCACCACCTTCTCTGTCCCTCTCTCTGAGGACCAGCCGACACTTATGCCAGCGTCCTCCTCTCCAGGGCACATTCCCTCCGCTGGGCAGAGGCTGCACTGGACCTGCCTGAGCTGCAGCAGATGAAGCTGAGGCAGCATTGTTGTTGTCCGTACCGTGATGCAGTAGACCAAACGAGAAGCCAGAGAAGCCAAGGCTTCCGCTCAACTCATCGCTGGATGAGCTAACAGTCACCCCACCCTCCCGCACCAACCGGCCCACCTTCCTTGGAGGTCCCACGTTGGCAGCAGCAGCGCTGCTTGGAGGCAGCGTGGAGGAGGCGGAGTGAGGGCCTGCAGTGGTCGGGGTGAGGACAGGAGGAGGTGATCGTGACAGTCTGAGTTTCTCCAGACGATGGCTCCATTTCTCCTTCTCACCTCCTTCGCCATTGCTCCGCCGCCTATCTCGGGCAGCCTCCGAAAGAGACAGAGAGGTGGCGCTGCTTGAAGATGAGGGGGGCAGCGAGGAGGAGGAGGAGTGGGGAAGGGAGAGAGGCATGGACAGGGATACAGGCATGGAGGAGGTGGGTGTAGGAGGCTGTGTACCAGAGTTCCTCTTTGAGGTTGAAACCAAGGTGGCGTCCTGCACACCCATAGTATAGCTGTAACTAGAGGGCATCTGACTCTGGGCTGAGTCACTGGAGGAGCTTCGCCAGTGCAGGATGCCTCGGACACTCCCCCGTACACTACGACCCACACTCCGCAGAGAAAAGCGCTTCTTCAGTTTGTTTTTGGAGGAGTTGGGCGTACTGTTACCTTTGGAGTCAGGCGGAGGAGTGACCGAGGAAGAGGAAGGTGGAATCTGAGGAGTGTAGGAGGGGTCAGCACTGTCCACCTCTGCAGACTCTGCTTCCTGCTCTTCTGGCTCAACGTCTTCCCCCACAGATGCTACTCCTAACCAGCTGTCCTCCTCTTCCTCAACCGGTGCTTCCCCATTCCCAGGGGCAATCATAGCCCCCCTCTCCTCACGCCTCCCGTTGTTCCCTCCGACTGAGGAGCAACATGACGATGATGAAGATGGAGGCAGGACTTGGCTGTGGGCATAAGAATCTTGAAACCTGTCCCCACTGCGGTTCTCCAACACCAGCCGTGCCGGTGCAGGCTTGGATAAGGCCCGTGTCGTGTTAGTCGGTGGACATGGGAGGACAGCTCCCCCAGACGCTGACAGGGGAGACACTGCTTCCTCTTCCAGGGAAGTAGCATCTGACTGGGGAGCCCAGCTCGCCATGTCATCCCTCCCAGAAGCACAGCTCTGCGGGAGCGCCCCCTCCAGCTCACTCTGAAAATGACGAACAAAGCGGTCGGTGAAGCGCCGGCAGAAGGCGGCCGCTGAATCTGGGGAGTAGTGGGGGTTTTCCAGGAGAAAAGCTCGAAAGTGGCGTGCAAAGTCACCGGCTGCAACGCGGGCATGGAGCTCACAGAATTCGGTCCAGCTCAGGCAAGGCGAGGGGGACGGTGTGGGGGTGTCTGACAGGGAAGACGGGTGAGCCTGGGGTGGAGGGCTCACCAAAGGGGGTAGAGGGGGTGGCCGAGGGGAAAGGGGCAGCAAAGAGGGAGATGGAGGGGATGGAGATGGGGAGGGTGAGGGAGGTAAAGGGGAGGAGTTTGCCGCCCGCGGGCTGGGCGGGGTTAATAGAGAGCCATTCATTCTGATTGACTTGATGGTCTATCAAATCACTTCAAACATACAACAGAGAGCTGAAGTGATTGCACAGCTGGGATAACTGACTGGGGGCAAACACAGCACATTGGTCTAATAATTTACAAATGAGTGTGAATTGAAGTGTTGTGCACAGCCCCATCCAAAATGAAGACATAAAATGCACCGGACCCATGGAAGATGGGGTTAAAAGAGGTCAAATATCTCCAAGGCTAAGCTTTTGCTACATTATTTTGTGAATTTAAATACTTTATCTTTTCAATAAGAAAATACTGGATTCAGACAGCCAGTAGATGGATGAGTAGAGGTGGTTAGATGTGTGGGATTTACAAAGTCTGCCCCTTCTTCACCGTCTGTCATACATCCAGAGAAGCGTGACCACATCCTGTAAAGACACAGAAACAAACTAAAGTTCAACTTCAATTTATTTATACTGCAAATCACCCAGAGGGTCTCTGGATTCTTAACAGGATCAAATATTAACAACAGAAGGACACCACACAAAAACATGAAACAGACTGCAGCAGCAGGACTAAGAATGAGAAATTTAGAAAGTTATTAGAATACAACACAAAAAGAAAACAACAACAAAAAAGATGGGCTTTTAGCCTGGATTTAAAAAAAAAATCTCAACAAGGCTTCCCGGAATTGCAGTAGGAGTTTATTCCAAAGGCCCTAACCCTGAAAAAGCATCGAGAGAACATATATGACAAGGATGGAGCCTTGTGAGACAGAGGATTTTGAAATCAGGTCTGGCTTGTGTTGGAAGCCAACTTCTTCAGTCTTGTGAGGACTCCCTCTTGTAAGACTACAAAAAATGCCTTTTATCGACAAGAACTTTAGCATTTGTAATAGGACAGAGTTTGACTATGTTACATAGATGGAGAAGACAGATTTGTTAATATTCTTCTTGATATGTGGTTTAAAGGTAAGAGAGGAAACAAAAACTATTGCCACATTCTTCACTGTGTGGCTCTGCGATACTGTGTAGCCATCAGAACTAGGTACTTTTTTTCTTACCTCTACTCCATTACATTATATAGCAAAACATTGTATTTGTTACTCCACTATGTTTATTTGATAGCCATAGTTGGGAGTTACTTTACAGACTAACAAAATATATGATCAGTTTACAATTATCAAGTATTATAATACATTCACTACACAGCAGCATATTAAAAACTAATAAAAATAAGATCCAGCTCCATAAACTACATCATCAAAATTCTTATTACAAGTTTATGCATTAATCATTATAATCCAATAATCTCATGTAGAGTTGTTCAAAGTTGTTCTGCTGCATAATGAGTACTTTTTAAGATAAGATATGTTACTCCTTCACTGATTTCCAGAGGGGACCTTTGGATGTTGCAGCACCACGAGGACACAAAAATAAGTACAGATAAATAGAGAGGAGTAGAAATGGAATAAATAATTATATGAAATAAAAATAGAAGGCAATAGAAACTATAAAAGAGCAATCAGAATCATAGTCATGATTGTGATACTTGTACTTAAGGAAGACTCTTTTGGACCTTTAATGGAGTACCTTTATTTGTAATTGAATATTTTTACTTGAATAAAGGATTTTAGTACTACTACTTCTACTGCATACTCTAAACAAATCAATTCATTTACAGAGAGCAAACCTGCATTAAAAATGTTGTATTTTGAGGATGAAACATTTAAGTTGCCTCATGCCCGGTTAAATGACCTGATGTTTACCTTGCTAAGTTTATTATTGCTTGGTATCACAGTTAAATGTTATTTGTAATTATTGTAAACCTTTCTATATCTGTTATCGTTATCAAATGAGGTAAATAAACAGTTGGTCAAATGGCAGGGGTGGAAATTAAATGTATTTGCTCAAGTACTGTACACAAGTACAAATTTGAGGTACTTGTACTTCATCTGAGTGTTTTCTCCTATAACCACTTTATACTTCAACTCCACTATATCTCAGAGGGAAATGTTGTACTTTTTACTTCACTACATTTATCTGACAGCTTCAGTTACATTACAAATTAAGATTTTTGTAAACAAAACATATAAAAAATGCACAAGTACAGTTAAAATTTAGTTGATTGACAGAAAATTTATTTGACACTATTCTGATGGTTGAAGTGATTTTCCACGTAAAAGCATTTCATGGTTCCAGCTTCACAAATATTAAAATTTGCTGCTTTGCCTTTTAATCATTTGAATAACTGTCTTGTATTGATAATAATGTTGAGGTTTGGACTCTTGTTTGGACAAAAAAACACTGTAAAGATACCACTTTGGGGCCTGGGTAATTGTGACAGCATCACTATTTTTTACAAACCACATAAGCTATCAATTAATGGGGGAAAAAATGAGCAGATTAATCCATGATGAAAATAATCATTACTTATTAGTTCAAATGAACTTCACCTCAACCAACTACAACAGTAAAATCCTGCATTTACACTTATATGTGCGAAATAAATAAACTATATCATATATAATAGTAAAACAGTCACAGGGGGCATCTTTCTCCCTTTAATACTTTAATTACAATGTCCTGATTACACTTACATACTAATAGCATTTTCAATGCAGGACCTTTACTTAAAACAGAGTATTCTTACAGTGTGGTATCAGTACTTTTACTGCAGTAAAAGATCTGAATACTTTCTCCAACACTGTTAAACAGATTAATGCTTGCTAACTTAAAGTAATGTGTCTTAACATCACATTCTCACCCGCTAGCTTGCTAACATGAACTAGCAATGTGTGAGTCTTGCTCATTCAGCTTTCTCTTAAGACGTGTAACGTTAACGTTCGCTAGCTAACAATAGCTAACTAACGTCAGCTTGCTTAAGACCTGTTGTTAATAAGCATCGTTATTTAGCATTGTTGGTTAGATATATCTCATTTTGTTGTGGCTACTGTAAGCTGTCGCCGGGATGGCCACACATTAAATCATCCAACAAGCGAGCAGCTATCACGAAAAATTCTTTGCGAGCTAAGCTAACCGTTAGCCAGTTAGCTTAGCTATTAATAAACCAGCTAGCTAGCTATCAATATTGCTTCACCACAACGTTGTGTGTGTTTTCTCTACCTGTACATCACAGTCCACTGGTTTCATCCGTGTCTTTGTGATAAAACATGGCACACATTTCATCATTCTTTCAGTCTACATAACGGAATAATCATTCTCCGTAAAGATTGTTGTTGTTGTTGTTGCTAAATATGAATATTGCTATGCCTTTTGCCTGGACCCGTTCTTCTCGCACTGCCCCTGGTCCTCGCGATAGTTGATTCGGTGGGTCGGTGTCCGTTCGTTGACAGTTACCGTTAAAAAAACGGATGAGTCGTTTCCCAAAAACTGAGAGGGTAAACAGTAGTACGACCGGGGGAACCAGAGAAGTACACCGACACACCTCTCCCACCCTTTCATCCCTCTCTTACAAACAAACAAACAAACTACAGTAAAAGTAGGCTACTAATAGCACACTGTGAAAATACTCTGTTACAAGTAAAAACCCTGCATTGATACTATTGATACTAATACTTTTTATGGAAAAGTATGTAAGTCGGCTAAAATCAAGAAAATGTACTGAAAGTATTTAAAGTCGAAAAATGTCCCTTGTGACTTTTGTTTATCATATTATTAGATTATTCTGACTCGTGTATAAATGTAATAGCAGGATTTTACTTTTGTAGTTGTTTGTGGTGGAGCTAATTGAACTAAGAGTGAATTATTATTTTCATTATGGATTAATCTGCTGATTATTTTCTTTTTCATTAATTGATTGATTGATTGGTATCTAAAAATAAAGTGAAAATAGTGGGAAAATGGTGTTATAACAACCAGGGCCCAAAGTGACACCTTCACAGTGTTTATTTCGTCCAAACCTCAACATTTTTACCAAAACATTACAATTATTAAAGGGAAAAGTAGGTAATCTTCACATTACTGAAGCTGGAACCATGAAATAATTTTGCATGAAAAATCACTTCAACCATTAAAATAGTTTCTAATTAATTTTCTGTCAGTCAACTAATCTATGAATCAATTGACTGTCACAGCTGTAGGCTACTTGTATAAACTGTAGGGATGGTTAACTTATAACAAAACAACACATTTTATAAATTCCTACATTTGTGTGCAAAATTCTTGAATTTCTAGAAGTAAGTAACTATGTAGGGTAGACTAGGGATGGTCATAACACCACCATTTTCACCAAGAAGGGACGACCAATGAGTCATGTAATAGCCTACGTTTATTGTACGACCCATTTCTTCCAAATTTTGCATGTGAAATTTCACAGCTGTGTGAGGAAGTACGCAGATTTTACTGCCAAAGTACTGATTTTCAGGTATGAAAGTGATTTTTGAATGAAGTCTATTTGATTAGCACTGATACTGTTGAAATTAGAATTATGTAACTTGTATTAGATCAGAGAGAAGTCATGCTGCTACAACTAGCTAAACACAGGCTGACAGGGGCGGGGATAGTTGTCACACCTTTTAAAAAGGTATAATAAGTAACCTCAAAGACAACTTAACACATTTTCTCTATCTTAGTCCTTTTCTCAGCATACCACTGGAGTTGGTTAAAAAAACTGATAGGGGTATGCTTGAGGCAGGGAAAGCCAGTAAAGTCTGTCCCCAAAGAATCCGCTATCTGCCATGTCAACACATTCTCACTCTGACCTCGTCACATATGGCCACTTGGTCGTGGACTTTCCATGGTGACATACGATGTGCAAGGTAGCCAGGGTGCCTCTGTTGTTGGTGTTCTAGGATGCCTGGTCAATTTCAGCGTGTTACATGCATTGTGTCTTTTCAAAATACACTTGCGTTTTTATAGGAAATTTACAGTTTGCATACAGTCTCTTTCGAAATAAACAAACTATGTAGGTACTACATCGCAAAGTGAATTTTTTTTCCTTCAACAATGAACCCTCTTGGTTGTGTTTAGGCAACAAAAGCACATGGTTACAATTTTTTTTTTAAATAACAAGGTTTGGATTTACATTCATACGAGAAGCAAGCATTGACCTCTTGGGTGAAAGCTGGTGGTTGTTGGACCCATTCAACACCTCTTCTCCCCACCCTACTCTGACTTTTTGCCCCCTTAACTTACATTGTTACCATCAGGCACTATTACACACTGATGGCGCCTGGCTATGTATCATGCCGGTGTAAAAGGATGGCTTTTTTCGTCAGTGTCTGACTGACGAAACTGACCACACGCTGACTGACCATACGCTGGTATTTGACGACTTCAGAATTCGACCGGGTTGGCCATGAAACGTCGAATAGATACTGGAAAAATATACATGTATAGAAAATACAAACTGTCTGAGAAAGAGGATCAGCACAGCACCCCTGTGTGTGCTATAATAGCTGTCAAAAGGTCTTCAATGTGCAGTAAGACTTGCTTTGAGGCAGCAGACCTGTATTTTAGACTCAGTCCATGTGAGGCACTAAGCATCTGAGAGGTACAGGTTAGTGAGTTTGAACCTTCGTTTGATTGGTTATCAGTGTATTTCTCAGTTTATGTGTGTGTAATTTCTGTTATTGTGTAATTTTTAGCTCTTCACTCTTAATGTTACTACTCACCCCACATTGTGTTACAGCTTACCCTGGTAGCAGGGCAGGTTGTGACAATGGCAGTCCTTGTATTTGACATCAGTTAATTAATTCTGTGATATAGTTGGAGAAGTTGAAAAAGTCGCTATTTGTAGTTGAGAAATGAGGTTACTTTGGGCCAAAATTTGAGAGCTCTAACACAAAAATTAAACGAGTTATAGGTGCCGAACAAAAAGTGTTATAACCGTCCCGGATCACCCCTAACTAAAGCTGTCAGATATATGTAGTGGAGTATGAAATGGCATGGAAAAAAAACTCAGAAAAGTACAGATTTGTAATACAGTACAGTATTTGATGAGTAAATGTACTTAGTTACAGTCCACCACTGCATATCTGAGTGCTTCAGAACAATACAATTCCTTCAACGCACAAAGACAACAGCTGTATTTAAGGTAGTTTAAAAGGGTTTCATTAAACTTTAATGACTGAATACAGCAACAATAATGTTTTATATTAATCTAGTCTTGAGAAATACATAAATGCCTGGGATTATTATTTGTATTATTTGAGTTAATCAGCTGAACCAATTAAAAATCAGCATGATAAAGAGTCGTATCCACTCTCAAGAAATGTTGAATGTTTACAGCATTTTTGTAATCACATTGTTACAAAAATTAATCCTAGACAGAGAAGCATTTTCCTTTTTTTTAACAAATACACTCACATCATCCTGTTTTCACTAATAAAAATCACTCAGTATTGATCCCAATGATCAAAAACAGTTTGGGGAGAGAAACCTGCTCTCTGTGTGAACATGTCAACATGAACACTAATAAAATTATGATTTCTCGCTGTTCCTCATCTGGTGAAACTTGTTCATGATATATGTTCTTCATTTCATCATTCTTCATTTTCAATTCATTAGTCAGACTTTCTGTGACTTTTTCCATTTGAGACTGTTGGAGGTTCTATGAGGCCTTCACCACCAACTTTATTCACCTCTCTCTCCTTTCATTAAACTCTTCTCTGACATTCGCTGCTTCAGATTTTTTTTTACATTAGATGAGAAACACTTGTCATGTCACATGTTTTATCTGTAGAAAAAATGCAATGTGAGTTGCTTTGGCTCATGTTGAAGTCACTTCTATTCTTCACCTCCAGTGTCAGTCCTCCTGATGCGACTTGCAGCCGTTACGCTTGGTGAGGCAGCCGTCATGGTCAGCTTTGGATGATGGTTTTGAACATCCTGTGGTGGACAGGCGGATGGCTCCTCTGCAGATCAGTGTGAACCAGTAGAGCTGGAGGGGCCACAGCAGAGCAGCCCCCAAGTTGCACTGCCACGGGGCCACCAATGGCACCATGTACACTGGGATGGATGCATACCTTAAACATACAGCAGAAGCTGTCAGAGCCAAACTAACTATTTATACACGTTTCTAATTAAAGGTTCCCTGTAAAGGGCCAAATTAGAAATCATCTCTCATATTATATCTATTTATCTGTATCTATTTCATTATACTACAAATACATGTGTGCAAAGGTTTCTAAAATGAATAAGGTAAAATGTGCAAAAGTAATATATTTTAGTTTATTAAATTGGCAAATAAAGGAAAAACTGAAGCATTAAATTAAGATATAACATTTGAAACGTGTGTGTGTGTGTGTGTGTGTGTACAAAGTGGAATGATTAAGGCGGTTTTAAGCGTTTTTTTTTTTTTTGTTTGTTTGTTTGTTTGTTTGTTGTTTTTTAATTTTACTTAAATATGTCATTCTGCCCCAGCACACACTGCATTCATCTGTGTTTAATTTTGGTTGACGAGATGTACTGTAGTTTTAACTCACGTAAGAGTTTACACGCAAAAAAAGAAATTAAGATAATTATGTTTTTGCTTGATTTAGATACATTTAATAACCCCAAAAATGATCAGACTCTGCACTCATGGCAGGTTATGTACACGTTAAATGACTTCATATTCTGCTAAGTAGTTTAATCAATAATAACACATCATAATCTATCAGTGGATTGGATTTTGTATTCATAACCTGAATCTGCATAATCATTAAATCTGTAACAATATGAATATAGTGCTATAAAAAAGTGCAATAAATCCCTTGATGTACAGTAGTGGAGTAGAAGTAGGCTTATAAAGTCCCAGAAAATGGGAATACTCATGTAAAATTCAAGTATCTATGTACTCAGTTACCTGCTGTAGGCGTAGTACAGGTAAGGGAAGAGCAACACCCGACAGCTGAAGAAGGTGAGCAACATGAGAACTCCGTTGACTTTGTGCAGCAGAGTGTGCTGCTGCTTGTACTGATGAGAGAAGAAGACAGTCCAGACTGAGCAAGACAAGAGCACGGAGGCTGAGAAGGCACATTTTATTTCAGCATTACAAGTTGATTTCAGAATCAGAAACAAATTTACTGCCAAGTAGATTTTCACATCCGCTGAATTTGGCCCCAGGTGTGAATGTGAGTGTGAATGGTTGTCTGTCTCTATGTGTCAGCCCTGTGATAGTCTGGCGACCTGTCCAGGGTGTACCCTGCCTCTCGCCCAGTGTCAGCTGGGATAGGCTCCAGCCCCCCGCGACCAGCAAGAGGATAAGCGTTTACGAAAAAGGATGGATAATAATAATACAAACAATATTATCACATTATTATTTTTGCTCACTCAGGAAAAGAACTGGTCATTTTCTCGAGAGACAAAAGGTAATCTACTTTAGATAATTCATTTTTTTAATCCTGTTATCTCCAAATTTGAAAAATAATAGTAATAATTTGTATTTTGTCAATGTGCAAAAAGCTGTGGTTTTGGTGAGTTAATAATCTTGTTTTCTTATGACAAGGCCATTTTTTTCATGAAGGGATAAATTCTCATCAGGAGAAAACAACCTAATTTCGAGAAAACTTTAAATGAAATTGTTCTTGGCTTTACTATAAAAGAGAAATATAAAGTTCAAAACAAGCAGTTTTATTTATTTTTTCCATCTCAAGCTTTTAAAAAGAAGTCATACAACCTAAATTCATTAAGTTGGTTTTGAAAAGCTAGTTTAAATTTCAACTTTAAATATATAGTTGCTTGTATGAGTCTGTTTATTTCAGCTCTTATTTAGCCTACTTACATACATATAAACGTAAATGTACATGTAAACTTTTCCACGACAGAGAGGAAAAGCTACATATTTTAGATTTATTTGCAATACTTGGGCTTGAACTCCAAATGAATTAACATCTCTGTATGACACCTGGACACACACAGATGATGTCATTTGTCATTTGTTGCTTGAATGCAGCCCCCGGACCAATGGTGGCCCTCAGAAAAATTTTGTGTGGCCCTTAAACATGACATGAAACCCATGCATTATGTTTTAATCAACTGTGGTCCATCTCAGTAATTTTACTTTCAATAGCTTACATTTAAAACTCTTTTGGAGACTGCATCAAAGTGCGCCCCCCTAACAAGCGTCTGTACAGCCTTCTGTTATCACAGTTATTCTGTATGTGTGTGTGTGTGTGTGTGTGTCACTCTTTTACTTTCAGTTTAGCTGTTTACCTGGATCAGGACTTTCCCCAGACAGACACACGGCGTGCTGAGCTCAGCCAAAAACAAAACGCCCTGGAAGAAGTCACCTTTCCCCTGCCTCCACAGCTGATTCATACACACAAAAACACACACACACACACACACACACACACACACACACACACAGAGGCAGACAGGGAAGAAAATACATTTAAACATTTGTCAACAAACTTTTCATTGTTTCAGCTGTTTGTAAAATAATAAAATACACCACAGAACTTTGAGTCTCATCCAACAGTGGTCAGTTTTTTTGTTAAATCACAGCACCTGAAACAATGTTTTTAGCTAATCCAATTGCTCCTCACATTATTAGGGTCCGGGCAGCTAAGCTGCCAGGACACTATTGTAATCCTAGGTCTTCTTCTTCTTCTTCTTCTTCTTTCTTCTTCCAAGGAAATCATACTTCCCATGGTTGAAAACTCACCAAACTTTGCACAAAGATCCCGTCTCATGCCAGATATCCTCAGCTGTAAACTCAAGCCAATAGTCCTGATGGTGGCGCTACAGTAAGCGTCTAAAGTTCAAAACGTTGAAAATTCATAACAAATCAACCATACGTGCTACAACTTCACAACTTTCATCAAACTATAGCCCCAATACTGAAGAAACGTGTACATTTAAAAATTATGAAGTTCATCACTCTGTTTTTTTCAAAAACTGTAAAACTTCTTAAACCTATCTCCTCCCACAATTTTTGCTCAACTGACACCAAACTTGCTACAGAGCATCTTCAGACTGTCCTACACAAACTATGTTTCTCAGATTTTTGATTTATCAAAAATTGAGCCTACAGTGCATCAAAATGTTTGACTGTAAACAGTGCTGTAAACATATACATACAAATTCTTGCTAAATAAATCTTCAATGTTCATGAAAAAAATGACAAAATTCTAGAGTCATGGTAAATGCAATATGTGTATTTTCAGATTTTTGTTTCGATAACTGAATTTTTTACAGTGGTTTGAAATCTGCTTTTCCATGCATGGATGGCTGCTAAACCTGCACGTCTGGCTTAGTCAGTTTGTGAAGCTACACATGAATTGTCACTGACTAATTAACTCAGTGAGATAGAAGTTGATTCTTAGTCTCAGAGGTTGTGAGATCAAGCCTCAGCTGATGCAAAAGGCAGATTGTGTTGCTAAATTCCTAAATGTCTTCCAATTCTTCTGCTTGTTGCTCAGAATTGCCTAAAAATGCCCGGACCCGACCCATCGCTGTGCAGCAGTTATAATTAATATTAAAATCTCAAAAAGGGGCCACAGATGAAATGAAGAATTAAGAAATCTGTAACAGGAGATTTGAAGTCCAGACATATCAAACAACTTTGACAAGACCATCACAAGTGACAGCATACACCAAATGGACTAAAAGGCAGGTGTACCTAATAAACTGGACTCTGAGTGTTTATAGTGATACTGAGGAGTAATTCAGAACTTAGTTGGCAAAATGTCACTTTTTCAGATATAATAAAGTTCACTTGTGGAGTTTTATTGTAAGCAAAAAAAGTTTACTTTTACATTCAGTGTTTACAGTGAGACATCACTGTTACTGTTGCCTTAGTTACCAGTGAGGCGGGAAAGCAGAAGGCCACCAAGAAGATGTGATGCAGCACCATGAGCATCTCTCTGCGCAGGTAACTGGCCACAGCAGCTCTCTTTGACCTGACACCCTCCTCCTCGTGACCTTTGACCTGCAGCTTGTGCCAGTAGCACAGGAACATGGCATAGATGTCGTAGGCAAAGTACGGCGTGGCAAACAGGATGTAGGTGTTGGTCAGCCAATGACTGAGGAAGAAACAGGAAGTGAGTCAGAGCTGGATAAGACGCACTCTGATTATTGATGTGTTTATCATAGAACTGATCAACTCTAATCTGGCTGTCAGCTGATTTAAATTATATTATTATTATTTCTACTATTACATTGCACCTGATACTATATCTTATATCCTATCCTATACTCTAATGTAGTACATCTTACTTAACTTTAATTCTTTAATTACTCATGTATAGTTCAAATTTTGTACTTAACCTACTCTTATTCTAGTTGTACATACCAATTATTTTGGTGCAACACCTGAATTCCCCCTCTGCAGTGGCGCCCCCAAAATTGTATGCACCTATTGTATCAGGGTGGCAATGACTCCAGTAAAATACCTGAAATATTTACTGAAGGACTGTATGAAGTGCATACATCAGTCACACATGAAAGTGTTTTGTAGTTGATTTTTGTCTTTTAGAAAGCAGAAGTTCTGAAAAAAAAAAAATATATTTCAGTGATATTGATGAAACAAGCGATGCTGTGTGTCTGTGTATCCAGTATTTTTTAAAAGATTTTAAACAATATGAGACAGGACCTTTAGATATTTTACTGTTTTCTGACTGTATCCACAAGCTCCAGTCTGAATGTGAGTCAGTCAACTGATTTTATTCTCTTACTGCCAAATTATCAGCTCACATGATTAGAGCCAAAAGTGGATCTTAAATCAAGTTTTAAGAATCTCATTATTTCTATTTTGTACTGCCATGTTTCAGATTTCCATGTTGATGTGTTAAAGATTAAATTTCACACTAATACATTTAGAGACTTGTTAGAGTTTAGCAGCTACACAGTGTGATTGACAGCAGCTGCTCCCAAAGTCGCTTGCTGCAGGTCAGTGTTTGTGGCGTGATTTGATAAACAAATGTCTCTCAGACGTACCTCCTCTCCACTTTGACTGGGAAATGAAACAGAGGAAACCTGGGATTTACACGTCCCCCCCCCCCCCAGACCCAGACACACACACACACACACACACTGTCATCTGTCTCACACTCCTCCATCGTTTCATTTCCCATCATCCTCAGCATGCAGGATTAGTGATCTCTGTGAGCGTCTTACAGACTGAAATAGCTGCACTGCTGCAGATTGTTAATTAGATTACAGAGTGACTGAGGTTTGGTTTATGTACACAAGTAGCCCCAGTGTGAGATGTTTTGTTCTAATGGCCTACTGATATCATTATTTTTCAGTAGAAGCTACAAAACTTCAACTTTTAACTATATTATTAATAAAGGAACTAAACATGATCACAATCATTCAGAGAGCTGTCCCAGACAGAAAACACAGTGTAATGCATTTAAACCATACTAGCTGCTCTGTGAGGAACATGAATGTCTGAACCACATTTCATTACAACACATCTAATAGATGTTGAGATGTTTCGGTTAAAACCACAAATGTGAATCCCATGGTGGTGCAAGAGTAAAAGTCAGAGGGATTCATCATGACCTGAGGATCATGCATATCTACTGCACACATAATTTCAGCACACTCCATCCAGTAGTTGAGATAGTTCAGTCTGGACCATCAGATGCAAAGTGATGAATGTAAACTAAAATATAAAGCTGACGATATTTAATATTTTTCTTATTGTCAACAAATCTCAAAGCTCATTATACTGAGGACATAAATGTTTGAAAACACAAATATAAAGCTTCATGTTGAAAAATGACTCGATAATTTCCTATAACAGCTGGTGACTGGGAACTATTTTCAGTGGCAGATTAATCCACATTTGGTGCTCTAGTGAATATTTGTGGCAGCAGGACAGAGTGTGGAAGATTGAGTCAAAATAAATACAGTGTTCATGGTCATGATGCAACATGTCACCCAGTGCAACAATGTGACTCAATCGTGTTTTTAAAAGTTTTTGGACAACAATGGAGCTCTGTGGCACAGAGGAAGAGGGAAAAACAAACAACAAAAATAAAAACTAAAAGGTGAGAGAAAAGCAGAAGAAAGGTAAGAAGTCCTCACCTGTCCTCTATGACATCCCTGCATGACGAGGCAATAATACATCCTGCTGATGAGGCCATGATGGCCTGGATGGACGACACCAGACTGAGAGGACAGAAATAATAATCTGTTTAACAAACAAGTCTGTGTGCTTTCATCCAGGAGATCATCATTAATGTGTTTGTAAAAGTACAGAATCTGTCTCTTGGTGTTTCATCTGAACTTTAACAAGCAAACACAGACTGGGAGGGACGGCATCTGGGTCAGTCAGTCAACCTTAACAAACATGCATTGTTTGAAAGCACAGAGTTTCACAGTTCTATCTGTGTCAACCCCTTTTGTACTGTGATTCTGAGGAATAATCAATCAATTAATGGAGAAAATAATCAGCAGATTAATCCATAATGAAAATAATTACTGGTTAAAATTTTATAATGAGCTCCACCTCAACCAACTACAACAGAAAAATCCTACTTCTGAAATACATTTTCCTGATTATACCTACATACCTTTACTTCAGTAACATTTTTACGCAGGACTGTTACTTGTAACAGTCTTTTTTACATTTACTGAAATAAAGGATCTGAGTACTTCCTCCACCACCGTCTGAAAATACAGCCAAATACAGAAATACTGCAAGTCGTACGGATCACAGCAGAAGACAGCAGAAGTTTCCAGGGGGACACTTAAAGGTGAGGAACACACCTGAGGCATATAACTTGTCTCCATGGTTTGTGGCTCATAAAGCTACTTAAGTTGATGATCTATCCATTTTGTTGGAAAATGAGAAAACACAGTAAGGTGTGTTTTCTTTTAATATTCTAAGTGCATGATTCAGATAATATTTCTAATATTTGCTGCTCATCTAACGTCAGCCTTAGTTTACCTACCTTTCAGTCATGAATTTGTAACATTTAAACAAGAAGAGTACATTACTGGTTGTTGATTTCTAACAAGTGAATTAAATTGCTTTTTTAAAAACTATTTCTGTTCTGTTTTCTATAATTGCAAATTGTTTTTTGTCACCTGCTTGTGATGATTTGTCTCTTTGCCTGGGAATAGTTCGTTTACGAAAACAAATTCACAAATAAACCATTTATGTGTTTTCTTAAATTGCAGTGTATTGAGCTCTCAGGGCCACCATACTTTTAAGGTTCCAGTAGAACGGCAACAAGTTGCTTGTTTTGTAGCAGGATTGTATATTATAACAGAAGCACAACATTGAAAGAAACTTTTAAGACATGACTGTACCTCTGTAAGTCTTTCATTCTCAAATTTCAGTGTCACTTAGAACTAGTGTGACTTTCTGATAATAAACTACAGAGGCCTGTATGTCATTAGAGACCAGGATCAGGACTGTGATCACTCTCAAAGTGCTCAAGAGCAGTAAACTATTTATTTTAGGTCAGTTTTCAGGCTTGTGCAGAGAGATTTTATCATGGAGGCTCCCAGCAAAAAGGAGGACCCCACAAGGCTGGGGAAAGTCTGCGGGGTATTAATGTAAGTAAGTGTGTGTGTGTGTGTGTGTGTGTGTGTGTGTGTGTGTGTGAGTGTGTGTGTTCTTACCGTGTGGACACAATGGCAGCGTCTCCTTCGCTCCATCCCTTCAGGTGCTTCAGGTTCTGTTTGGACAGCAGAAAGAGTCCGGGGAAGAAGATGGAGCCTGCAGCAATGAGGGCTAACATGCTTCACCTGTATGTGTGTGTGTACGTGTGTGTGTGTGTGTGTGTGTGTGTATGAGAGTGTGTGAATATGTAGGTGTGTGTATGTGTGTGTGTGTGCATGTGTGTGTATATGTGTGCTGGGAGTGTTAAGTGAGGACAGGTTTCCAGGAGCTCAAAGAGGAGGATCAGCTGGGAGGAGCTGCCACCTGTCAGAGGAGGTGTGGTGAGGAGGGTGGAGGGAGGGACACACTGATCTGTAGACGGTACATTTATTCAAGTACTGTACTTGGGTACAGTTTTGCAGTGCTTTTTTAACTTGAGCATTTCCATTTTATGTTATCTTGTACTTATACTTCACTCCATCTCAGAAGGTGATGTATTTTTTACACCACTACATTTATTTTAAACTTTTAGTCAGGCCTACTTTACAGATTCAGATTATTAACACTACAAATCAACAAATAAATTATGATTTATTGTACAGATAAAACTACCCAGCTGTATATAAAGTAATTTACAAGCTTCAACATTAAAGTTATGAACACATTCATGCATCAATAATTATAGTCCAAATATATATCATTCTGAAAGGGGCCATTCTGCATAGAGTACTTTTACTTTTGGGTCTTTTGAGTATATTCTGATGCTGATATTTCATTTTTTTCTGTTTTTATTGGAAAATGCACAGAGAAGAGGCAGACAGGAAATGGGGATGATGAGAAGGTTATGTGGCATGCACTGTAAACACCACCATACATTTTCATGTCAGTTAATTTATTCAGTCACCAGGTAGTTTTAAAGTCATTCTGATTATGGGATTATAAAATTACTTCAGTTTAACTCCTGCTTTATCAATTCATCCATTAATTTGTATATTTCCTTACCTTTGATTTTTGATTAATGTGAGCAGCATGAATGGGTTCTATGAACTTTAAAATGTGAATCTTTAACATGCAGAAAACATGACACCTTGATATGATGTGTATATTGGCCCATAATACACTGTTAAAAAGAAATTAAGGGAACACTTAAATCACACATCAGGTCCCGATGAACGAATTATTTAAGTTGAAAATCTTTACTGATGTACATTGTATGATTTGTTGAGGACAAAATGAAGTAACAATGGTCAGTGGAAACCACGACCATCAACCCATTGAGAGCTGTATTCAAAATCACACTGAAAATCAAAGTAAAAAAATGAAATCACAGGCTGATCCAGCTTGAGTGAATTTTTTCACGGCAACTCATAATGTGGCTCAGTAGAGTGTTGGCCCAGTGTGCCTGTATGCACCCCTGACAACATCTGGACATGCTCTTGATGAGTTAGTGGATGGTGTCCTGGGGGATCTCCTCCCAGACCTGGATCAGGGCATCAGTCAGCACCTGGACAGTCTGTGGCGGTACTAGGTGATGTTGGATGCAGCGATACATATCATCCCATAGGTGCTCAATTGGATTTAAGTCAGGGGGAACGAAAGGGCCAGTAAAAGGTCATCATTGCCTTTGCCTTCCAGGGACTGCCTTCATACTCTGGCCACAAGAGGCTGAGCATTGTCCTGCACCAGGAGGAACCCAGGGCCCACTGCACCAGCGTAAGGTCTGATAAGTGCTCTGAGGATCTCATCCTGATACCTAACAGCAGTCAGGGTACTGTTGGCTATGACATGGAGGTCTGTGTGACCCTCCAAGGATATGTCTCCCCAGATCATCACTGACCCACCACCAAACAGGTCATGCTGGAGGATGTCACAGGTAGCATAACAGTCACCACAGCATCTCTAGACTCTTTCATGCCTGTCACATGTGCTCAGTGTGAACCTGCTCTCATCTGTGAAGAAAACAGGGCGCCAATGGCAGACCTGCCAATTCTGGTATTCTCAGGCGAATGCCAATCAAGCTGCACGTGCTGGGCTGTGAGCACATATCCCATTAGAGGATGTCGGGCCCTCATGCCACCCTCATGGAGTCTGTTTCTGACAGTTTGGTCAGCTGTATGCAGGACCATACCCTCTTTGGAGGTTGTCTTGCTTTTGCCTCTCCATTGCACCTGTTGTCACTTTTATCTGTACCAAAGCAGGTAAAACTAATTCATAATAGCTTGAGCTTCCTAAATGGACACATTGATATCCCTATAGTTTAACTGACTTGGTGTTAGACTGTGACCATTAAGTGTTCCCTTATTTTTTTTTAAGCACTATGCAATCTGAAGCTGGTGAAGGTCTGTTCATAAATCATTTCAGAGCCTATGGATGCATATGACTTTGTAAACTAAGATTACAAATCTTTTCAGCACATCTACAAACTGTTCTCACAGATTTTGAAAGCTTTATTTACAACCACATCCATTAAACTTCCATCCAAACATCTTTTCACAGACTTCTTATTGAACCTGTTTATACCTGGTATTATCATGTCTTGGGAGATCCGATCACAAGTGAACAGCGCTGAATCCAAGTCTCAATGACCACCAAGACGCATTGTGATCCAATCACTTCCACCACATTCAGAGTGTGGTCCACATTCTTTTAGCAGTGCGAACACTAATGTGTCCTGCCCCACAGTGAACAACAGCCTACTCAGCTGACGTTCTAGCTGAGGTCCTGAAGCCACACTACTCCAGGTGAATGGTCAGTTAATTCAACTTTTTCCTGTTAACACAAGCTAAGTGTGCGTATAGAACTACAAAGCTCCTGCCAGTTTAAAACAACAACACATTTGGTCTTTGCACCGATACTGATTTGTGTTTATTTGCATATAGAGCAGGGAAGTGAGATCCGATCACAAGTGCTCACCCTAGACGCATTTGGAGATGCTTTCTTAATGCCAGGTGTGAACAGACAGACATGGAACTGTCCGCGTGTGATCGGATCTGTCCGCGTGTGATCGGATCACCAAAGACGCATGATGATACCGGGTATAAACAGGCTCACTGACCCTTACCTGGGCCAACTGACACATTCAGGTCAAGTTGTTAAGAAAAAAAGTGACATGTAAACATTAGAGGATTATTATCCAGTGTCCATTTATTTATTTATCATTCACTACTTTAACTCTAAACATTTTTTTTAAGAAATTCAAGTATTTGTTGGGAACACAAGTCAAAAAAACAAACAAAACTTTTTTTTTTGCTAAAACGAAGACAAAACATCAGTTTCATATTTATAATAATAAAAACATCAAGTTTCTTTTCATAGAAGAAAAACGAGTCTAATTTCTAAAGATGACCAGCCGTCTGTCTGTCTGTCTTTCAGCCTGCCTGTCTGTCTCACTCTGCTTTAATCATCTACAGACTAGAGCTGAATCAAAGACTCAAAATGCACTCTTCAGCTGATCTCTGAACAGTGTGCAGGGAGGTCATCTAGTTTAAAAACTGGTTCTCACCTGAAGGATCTCTACTCAACACAACAACAGAAATAAAGGAAATAAAGAAAAAGTCCAAAAGGGAAAAAGTTTTGATTCATTGTTCCCTAAATGAGTAAATTTGAGCTTCAAATGAACAAATCACTCCCTCAAATGACCCCTTGTTTTGATAAATTAATTTTGTGTTTTCTATTTGCTAATGTTATATTTGTATTTATATTACATTATATATAATTTATTCTTTTCAGTTATTTTTTCAACAAAAATCTGGAGTTCTATCTTCTGCAATTAATTTTCAGTAAACTGAATCACCTGACAAAATAATGTAATTTAAAGACGTCATTCGGGGAAACTGCAACAGGAAATTGTATTCTGACATTTCATAGAAACACCAAGATTTGTAAATCAACAAAATGTTCAATGTTCATTTTTTAAACTCTTCTGCAAAGTTGCAAGATGTGCAGACAGAACGTATCTGCCAAATTTTCACTTTTTTCTTAGTTTCGTATTAATCGTAGCTTTAACATTTTTAATGTTATGTTTAGGCGCTCAGAACACTTTGGTTAGAGGTAGAGAAAGATGGCAGTCTTGGTATGATATTTAAAAAGTTTGAGACAGGATGTGTTTTCTTTTTAAATAAAACCACCATTTTTCCCCTTTGGCAACCTTTACACAAATCAGACATGGCTTTAAGGACAAAGATTGTAATTAAGCTTTAGATCCACAGTGGGAGTGTTCAGGGAATAAGAGACACATTGTAAAGGAGAGAACATTAATGTTAATTTCAGGGAACTAACCCAGCAGCTTGAGAACATGTAATTTAAAGACAAATTATACTGATAACTCTTCACTAATAAGTTTATATCAGTAACTTTCTGTTGTATTATCAAAATGAAAAGTTGCTATTTCACAACACCAACTGAAAATAAACATATTAGTGCTGACATCACGCAGAGGTTTACTTGCTTTTTCTTCTTTCAAATGTTTTTAGGGAACAATTCTCAAAACAATCTCCCTACTGCTTTTGTAAAAATCTAATCAGATCACAACAAACAAAAACAAAACTTCTAATAAAAATCACTTCCTAAAGATGAATTAAATAAAAAAAATTACCACAAAATGTACGTTTTCGTCATCGTCGACAAACTCAACCAATTGCACAGCATTCAAACCCAAATGCTCTCCATGGGATAATAAATATACACATGCAGATATACAAGTCAGCCTCAGTGATGAGCTGCTCACAGAGACTCGCTGTGTTCCTGTAGAAGAGGAGCTGAGGTTTCAGGTGTTAGAAAATCAGGAAACTGTGAGGGACCGACAAAGACGCTCCGGCGCCTGGAGGCTCAGGGGCCCCGCCTGCTGGAGGTACAGGACATGTACAAGACTCCTCGTGACTAAAGAGCCACAGGAACTAAACCAGGAGGTTCCTTCAGTGTGTTCTCAGGAGCCTCAAATCAAATGAACGAAACATGGATGAAAAAGCAAACAGTCTGGTCAGAGGTGAATTTTAGCATGGGACAAGACAAACTGAGGTGAATTCTGGGGTGGCTGGCTGTCACTTGGTTGGCACCAGTTGACTGTCATTGCAAAAGTTCCTGAGGTCCTTAAAAGGGTTCCTGGAAAAGTTCCTGCAGTCAAAAAGGGACCAAACATCTTGGGAGCGTCACCAGAAACCAGAGGATCATAGTGATGGTTGTTCATGTTTCACAGATTTATCTACAAATGACAATACTGCTGAACTTTTTGTCAAAGCACAGACTTCAGTTTCAGTTCATTTCAGCTACATAAACTTTCACAGACTGAAAACTTTCTGCAGATGTTTGTGTCGTAGTTGGAGGTTTTGTCTTGCAGTCAGGACGATGACCAAAATGGTGCATCTTCAGTTAACTCAGCGCTGCCAGTGTGCTAAAGTCGGCACTTTTTCCTCAAAGGGGTTACTGGGTTTAAGTCAAAAATTCACTTCCAGTTTCTGAAATCTGAATAGTTTCTTGAAGTAAACTGAACATCTTTTGAGTTTTGGACTGCTGAACCAAACCATTAATTGACAACTAAAAGTTTAGTTGTCTTATCGATCTGCAGCAAGTTTCACGTCTTTGCATGTTCATGTCCACTGAACTAACACTTTCAGGATGATTTCCTTAGTTTGTAGTTTAAAGGGTTAAACATGTAAAAACCACCAGTATGTTCACTTTTGATTTCACTGCAACACGAGAGGAAGTGAACCCAATTAGATGGCAGACTTAGTCACTTGTGTGTTTGATGATAAAGTCAGTTTGTCGACACAAGACAGATACCCCTTCCGATATCATACATATCTTCTACTAAACGTCTTACAGTGTAGAATCTGATATGGTACTTTACTGATAATCCAAACCAGGATCAATACTGGTGCTTCCTTATGTGGCTTTGTACAATACATAGTCTATTAACGGGACACCTGAGCCTGAAACTAAAACAGGAAGTAAAAACGACAAACTAAAAGAAACAAAAAGACAACAAAAACAGCAGCATTTCACCGACAACATCCTTCTCTCAAAAATCCTCACACTAATTCTGAGCTGCGGGGCGAGAGGCGAGGAGCGAGCACGAGGTAAAAGAAGAAGTAGTCACTGAATCTGGAGGAATGACGTTAAAGGTGTGACGAGAGGGGTTCACTTTACAGATATGCACATATCAGTTCTTTTTCTCTTTTCAGGAGTTTGAGGTAACTGAGACACTTCAAACCAAAAAGGGTGGAGACACACATTCTTCAACAAACACTCAATAAATTAAGAAATTAAAAAAAAAAAAAAAAAAAAAAAAAAAAGAAAAAACATTGTTGCTTCCTGTTTGTCCTTCCACTGGTGGGACAAAAAGTCGAAGCAGAGGAGGGCTGCAGGGAATAAAACCCATGTGGTGTGTTAAAATAATACGTGTTGAGATGGGAAGAAGGAGAAAAAAAAACGAGCTGCCAAATTCATAGTTTTGGCATCTTTCTGCAGAACATCGTTTCAGATGACTTAAAGTCACACTTTCCTGTCATGACTTGAAGATAAAATAGTTTGCAATGAGATGGTCTGTTGACGTCAGTAAAACTGTGGGGAATGATTTCCTGTTTCTAGATTTGTATCCTGATTAAATTCTCTCCTGCTGAATGAGGCAGGTTTCTAAAGGTGGTGAAACAACACTGATCCAGGACCAGACGACTCAACGAGAGGAACGGAAACTAAAACAACAAAGCTAACTGTGTGTGTGGAGGAACACTGGGGAACTCTGTGGTTAAAACCTGCTACATCTGTTTAATTGCATTATTAACGCCGCATTGAGTTGCGGCGAAAACACAGTGAGTGATGTGTTCAAATGTAGTTAAAAAAATAATAATAAAAAAATGGAAAACCTTGGCGGTGTTTGGCGGTTCATGGTGTCATGTCATTTGGCGGGTCTTGTTTTGGGTATCTGATCTGATCATGTAGCAAGTGTCTGAAAATCCGGCTGGCAAGTGAACACACACGGAGTGTTCGGTCTCCCCCGGCGTGTTTACCGCTTGTTTAAATTAAACCATATTGCACAGGGCTGGAATGACTTCAAAAAATTAGCTAAGCAACAATTCTACCAAACAATTAAAATCATTATTTCTTAATGTCTCTGCTAATATAGATGGAAAATCCAATCTAGTACCAAGTTCCTCTTTCTTATCCCTCCTCCAGCACTTCAGCAGCATTTTTTTTTTTAATTCAGCACCGGAAACGCCTCGAGCATCAGCTGTTGGGGTCGTTTAAAAAAGTGAAGCAGTAGTTTTCATAATCTGGAAACTTAGTAGATTTATAGGAGGGAAAAAAATGATGAGGATTTTCAGGAGGAGCTCAGGTGGGTTGGCTGTTTCCCCCTCTTACGTTGGGAGTGTTGTTCCCCTCCACACCTCGCCAGGTGGGGAAAAAAAAAAAAAAAAACAAGAAGAAAAAGTCCCAAACTCTTCAGTATTTTCACGGCCAATAAATCCTTTCTCAAACGCTGATGTCGCCCCTCATGAGAAAGAGGAGGACCGTTCATCTCTCCTCCTTCCTGGACACCTTGGAGGAGTGCCATGCAGTGGACCTGAAGACATAAAAATTCCTTTCAGACATGGAACATGTACCATTCATCGATCTGTTAAGTGATGGCGTGTTATACATTACTGTTCATTACAAATTTATTCTGAAAAGTAATGACGTTAAAGAAGTAAAGTCTTCTTTGTGCTCTCAGGCTGCATCAGTAAAGGATTTTAAAATGTACTTTGCCATCAAAATTGTCTGAGCAAATGCATAAAATGACAAGGCATTATGTTTAAACTCTCATTTATTGGTTATTCCCTCTCACTGTTTATGAAATGGAAGACCATTTCTGATAGGAAAAAACACAAACAAAAATACTTGTGGTAATTTAAAATTAGGGACGACTAAGTTAAAATTACAAAGAACAATGGAGATTCTTACTTTTATCATGTCCAACTTTTATGTATTTTTCATTCATTGATTACATAACAATGTGCATGCCTTGATGATGATGCAAAGTGAGCAGGGAACAGAGAAATGATTTGATTTGTTGAGTTAGAGCTAACAGAAGCCGGTTAAACTAACTTTTTTTCAACCGTACAGACTGTCTATGATTTAATGGTTTCAAACAGAACTTGGAAACTACACATTTCATTATGAGCTCAGACTTTTCCTCTCCCTCACCTGATGAAGGTCTTGAAGGCAGCACTCTGAGGGTTGATGCACAGTGGCACTCGTTTGCCCTGCTGGTGCTCCGTGATGAAGCGATGGATTAACTCTGGCGTTGGGACACAAAAGAACATCAGCAGTCAGGATTTATACACACAGTAACTTAGAGACTATGTAAAAGTCAGGGTGGAAATCAGTGTTCATTTGTCAACAAAATTTTGACAATAAGTGTTCAATGATGTCCTTTTATTTCATGACTAAACTGACATCGTATATGAAAAAAAACACTGACAAAAAATTACTGTGAAATCTCCATTCAGTATGCCCTGATGTGTAAAGTTGAGACGTAGGAGTTGGCTCTTTTTGGGCGGACAACCTGAGTTAGATCACAGTAGCCATTTCAAAACATTGTTTTTTTCTTCCTTTTAACCAATGGTGTTAGCCATTAGCCGGCTTACTGTAGCTCCCTCACCTTATTGTTAAATTTAATGGAGCCAAGCTAGCTTACCGTATACATCTATTCCTTCACATTTGTATACGTCTTCTGATCAGCCTTTACAGAGACCACTGATCAAAGTATTTTTAATTTATATCAGCCGATAATATCAAAGCAACCTTAAGTGAAACATAATGCCGAATTTAGCAAAAGACCTCAGTAATATTGGTGATATAAAGTAGCAGTAATATGAATAACTTTAGGCATTCATTTTTATATGAAAGACGTATGGTCAGTGAGTAACACATAAGCCCTTTTTACACAGAGATCCACAACAGGGCTTCTACTCAGTCCCTTCATTATGCCACCAATGCTTTTTATACAGATCCAAACCATGGCGGCATCATGCTGCCCCAGTGTGTGATTTTGGATGCCAGCATCCCCAAATCAAAAGGGGGCATGACATGTAACACAACAGTGACGGCCTCTAGTGTGACAGATAACACACATGTCAGCGGCACTTTCATAACAATAAAGGCAATACATGGCAATCATAATCATTTTCCGTCTCTGTTATATTTCAGCTAGAATCCATCCCTTCAGCAAAATCCATGATACTGTCTGAAAATTATGAGTAAACCGTTGACTAAAATAAAAATGTAAAATAAAAAAAGAGTAAAATTGGCTTTAAACCATCTACTTTTCTTCAGTAAGTGATTCAGACGAAAACTTACTTTAAAATTCTTGTAAAAATTAACACTGGGGTAAATGTGGTTATATATACACACGGTGGTGTACCTTTTCCCTGCCACACAGAAAGCAGACTGTTCTCGTAGCTGTGGCTGAACGGCCGTTCGGCGACTGGCTCAAAGTCTCGGGTGTAGACTCGCCCGCTGGGAACAGAGTAGCAGCACTGACACATGCAGGTGTGGTAACGCAGACGCCCTTCGTCCAGGTACGGGTGGGAGAGGGCGTCGCTGCCGGAAATACGTTTGGCCTGGAGAGAAAACAGACAGGGTTTAAAAAGAGATACCAACACATGACTTTCATTCCATCAGAGATAAACAATAACACAAACATCAGAACCAACAATCTCCTTCAGTGTGTATTGTCTGAACTCACCGGATCAAACACCAACATCCGACAGAGCAGGTGCACCGCCTCGTGTGTCGCTCCATCAGACAGCATGTAGAGCACTGACAGCGACGGCTGTAAAAATGAGAAATAAACATTTCTTTCATCATTCTGCTGCTGAACTAGATAGTAAATTAAATTTGGGAGAATATGAGCTTAATAATCAATATCAGTAAATGACCTGAGTCATGAAAGATATTTCATCTTCAATAAAATCAACAGTAAAAGTTTACTATTTAAAATTATTTGATCCCAGTGGTCAGATCATGTGAATTATCATCAACAGTGTAGATTTACTCAGCTTTCTACTTGTTTTTTTTCTAATTGATGTGTAAATAAACAGTTTTTTTCCATTCGGTGATTGACCTTAAAAAGGTGGAGATATGCAGCAGACTGTCTGTCAGCTTGTTTTCAAGGTTTTCTGTTACCTGGTGGACAAAAATCAATAAAGCAGCCTGAAGCAGCCAGTTTGCCTGAAAACTGATTATACTGTAGCTATTTAAACGCTGTTATAGGCTTCACAAATCCATTATTATTTATGCTATACTGACAGCATGCTACAAGCTTAATTACCTTACAGGTTATTTAATTTCTAAATGAAAAAGTAAGGAGTACGCCAGTGTGTCAGGGGGTCAGAGAGATGTTATAATTCATACTTCATGTAAGTAGCAGTGAAACAAAAAGGCCCACCACTCTGACTCAGTGTGTTAAATTAACTCAAATATGATGGATTATTATTTCTGTACACTGAACATATTCTTTATTCAACTATTGCACTTTTCTCTCATTTCATAACACTGTAGACATATATTTTCAAGAGTTTTTCTATTGTACGTTTCTATTTTAAATTAATAAATCTCAACATTTGCTGTCCTTTTTTATTTTCTGTATGTTTACTGTTATTCACCAAAATACCAAGGCTACTTCCTTGTATGTGAAAATCTTCTTGGCAACAAATCGGATTCTGATTCATTAACATTATGATTGTGTTTGTCATTTCTATAATTGACACAGAGTCTTGCTGAATGCTAAGCACCAATTTTAAAATAATCTTTCATATCTAAAGCAACATGCTTATGCTTATCAAAAATAAGGAGTAAAAGTCAGTTGGCTCAAACTGTTATTTCAATGTGTCAGATACCGTCTTGCTTACTGCTGAAGTATTTACTTAAAACGCTTCTGTCTGACGTTCATCATCACGTTTATCATTACTATCATTATACCTGATGAAGGTCAGATGCACCAAAACACTGTAAATAAATATTTCAGCGGTAACGAGACAGCGTGCAGGAGTTCTTCTCATCGTTTTTTAAGATTGCACCTCCTCCGACGCATCTGTCAGACATTCAGGTGTGCAGAGCTTTATTCACGTGTCAGATACTAATTTAATCAACATTTCATATCTTGTGCTACTCAGCTCATTTTCACATTGGAGCTGCAGGCTGTCAACATTAATTAGCCTGACACTCAGAACTGCTTCTGACCTCTCAGACACTTCATTTACTTGCAAATGTTGAAAACTAAACCTATTTTAGATAAAATTTAAAACCAGACCAACATTTCAACAACACTCAGTCTCCTCTGTGAAACATTTTTGGTAAAAAAAAAAAAAAAAAAAAAAAAAAAAGAGCTTTGTTGGAGATTCAGTGTGAGCGGACCACACAGTCACGTACCGGTTTGTGCGGCCCCCTCAGGATGTGGGCTCTGGCTCCTTCGCAGGCTGATGCCAGGGCCGACAGAGGAGGCGTTCCCAACAGGTCTGTGATCAGATCCAGCTGGAGGACAAGACAGGGAAGGAGGAGAAAATGTGCGTTAAAGAAAGAGCTGCACAATAATCCCACTAATTTGGACTGATTTGGTAGAACATGCTGATTCATGTGTCAAGATGCAAACCTGCACATTCTAAAAATTATGGAGGGATGCATCGTCCTGTAAGGTGCACTCTCCTCACATAATATAAATGAGCTATACATTCCCATTTTTCTTCTTTAATCACATTACTACTGTTACATTAGACTACTATTACATATTAATCCTCATAGCTGGAAGGCTTTAGGTTTACCGGTCTCAAGCTGGAAAGTATGGAAAGTACAAGCAGTAAAAATTCAATCAATTTATCATGCAAAAATGGCCAATAATCTCTAATTTGGGGCTTTTTAATGCGAGGAATGCTGGTTTTGTCCATTTTATGTAATTGTAAAGAGAATATTTTTGTGTTTTACACTTGTTGGCAAAGACAGAAATATTTGAGTATTTTATAGTTTTGTTGCTAGATTGGTTGGTTGAGTGTGAGTAAAGCGGTTAAGAAGGAGTGTGTCAGCCTTAAATTGCATTTGTGCGTGCTGCAGCAGGGATAAATTATGACCACTAATTCGTTATATGCAACTTTCCAAAGCAAGTTGAAATGAGACTGCATAAATGCCTGAATCTAAATCATGATCTTTTAATGATTTATCATGCAGCCCTTCCAAAAGGTACTCAGTATGAAAAAAAATGAATAAGAGTATAACTGTCTTTTCCTCCGTAGTGTTTTTTTCCCTCTGCACCTACATTTAAGTAGCAGTAGGAACTGGTGAGAATCTTACAGGTAACTAAATCATAAAACACAATTACGGGCTGTATTATAAAGTGTTACCATCATTTCTTCTAGTGTTTTCAGGAGACATAATGAAACACTGGGAAACCCGAGCTAACAATCTAAATAGGACAACTTACGTAAAAAGAAAAACAAAACCGTCAGAGGGATGTGATTTAATGAAGCAAGAATCTACAATAAGCCCCACAGTGAAAGGAAAATGTAAACATTCCATGGTGGCACCGGAGTTGTTTTACTGAATCTTTTATTTATTGACGGTAAGGTTGCAGAGCATGGATGCCCTTTTTAAACACCCTGCTAACGATGACTCAGCAGGTACCGGTAAATAAACAGATGTCACCTCATCTCACCTGCTGAATGGGGCTCTGAGCCTGGAAGAGGATGCGGCGTCCCAGCAGCTCTGCGAAGATGCAGCCCACCGACCAGACGTCGATGGCAGAGCCGTAGTGTCGGCAGCCCATCAGCACCTCCGGCGCTCTGTAGTACTGTGTCACTACCTCCTGGGTCATGTGACGGGACGGGTCAGGCTCCTCCACCCGTGCCAAGCCAAAGTCACAAATCTAAACAGAGAAAATAAATCATGTTAATGCATCTGTTTGGGATCATGACTGAATCGTGTTCTTGGTCTGAGGAACACTCCATTCAACACTGATCCATGTTTTCAAGAGGCAGACAGACAAATCTGAGGTTTACCTTGAGCAGGCAGTTGCTGTTGACCAGCAGGTTTCCAGGCTTGATGTCCCTGTGCAGGATCCCAGCAGAGTGCAGGTACTTCAAACCTGAGCCACAAAATGAAAACCATCAATAGTTTATTCTCATGTTACCCATACTGCATTACTGTCAAGCTCGCATTACTGCTTCCCACTTAAATGTTTTATCTTAAACGTAAAATATAGGTAATCTACATACACCTTTTCCTCTCGCTCATACCTGTCTTACAAACCAGCCCGTTTAGTTTAGAATGTATTTACATAAGACAGGAAGATGTTAGATTTAACTCTCGTAAGCACAGTTATCCAATAGCTCTTCAGAGTTTCTGTCTGCCAGATCAATGTTTCTTTAAAATTTAGAAAAAGACATTTTGGTGTCAGGTGCAACGTGGTAAATCACAGTTTTGATGGTAAAAATGTTTAACTCGATAAGGTGTGCCTGACATCAAAACACACTAGTGGTGACAAAAGCCGACTGTTGCGTCGCCTCTCATCACTTGTGTCTTGGCCAAAAAGCTGCACTTGAACACACCAAAACGACTACAACCAACAGCCAGCTACCACTTACTTTCTATGCCTGTGTAAGTGGAAATAATTCTCTATACCAGCAGGTGGTGGTAGTCTGTATTCGGCATCAAAAGGGAAAATGAAAAACCGACAGGACGGATTTCAGATAATAGTTAGCACATTAACAACATAACCCAATATTTACTAAATATTAAACGTGTGCTAGTAAACACTAATAATTATAAAGTGTTTCTGCTAAAGAGCTTAATAGCTAAAAAATGGTACCTAACGCAACAAGTTTGTTTTGATTTTCTTTCCTCACTTCCATTTCTCTTCTCATACAATGAGTTGAACTGCCAATCAGAGATATTTCTCTCACATGCTGAATTTGCCATAAAACAGCTTACATGGGCTAACTAGTGGCAATGACACACAGCCAAAACTAGGGCAACAGATGACTCACGGTCCAGTATTGACTGATGACTGTCCGTCAGCTTGGTGTGTCAGGGTCCCTTAGATGCAGCTTTTTAAGTGTTTACTGTTAAAAAAAGGCTAATTTCTATGCTCCAATCGTAAACCCCTGCTGGACAATTAAAAAGATGGTTTTAAAATATTTAAAAAAAAAAAAAAAAAAGTATGAGGAAAAACTAAGATTAAAAAAATAAAAACTAACCTTTTGGTCGGATGAACATTTTTATGGAATCATCGTGCAATGCTGACTACATGAAACCATATGTGGAATATTGCTCATGGAGACAGCCTAAACAATTCCTCAAACTAATTATTTAATTGGTGCAAAATTAACCTGCAAATATTTTGTTAATGGACTGTTTCAGTCTTTCAACAAACAAAATTTCCATCGAAATTCTCTGGTTCAAGTTTTTCCAACATCAGTATCTCCTGATTTTCTTTATCCCGAGTGATAACAAATTAAATAAATTTGAGTTTTGGACAGACAGTCAGAAAAAAGCAGGATTTTAAATTTGACGATGTTACCTCAGGGAAAATGTGGGGGGCGTATTTTTCTAGGCAATTTTTCTTATATTTTATAGACCAAACAATTGATGGGGCAATTAATTCATCAATCAGTGTCAGTTGCAGCTGTACACACACATATAAAATGTAATTTAGTTACTACAAACACAGTTCATCTTCTTGTCTTGCAAGCTGAAAAAAGCTTCGTACTGCAGTTTAGCTAACACTCCACTTCTGCTGGACTGAAACTGTCCGCTCACCTCGGAGGATCTGATAGAGGAAGACCTTGATGTGGTCGGTGGTGAGAGGCTGAGGAGACACGATCACTTTGTGGAGGTCGCTCTGCATCAGTTCTGTTATCACGTAGCTGCGGGGTGGTTTGCTGTCAAGGCAAATAAAAGCTCACACACGGACTGACCTCCGCCTACATGAACATGATGCATCTCTATCTGAGAACAGGTCTCTTTTTTTTTGGGTTGTTGAGTAAATGTCAATAAAACAAATATGAAAAGAATATCATATCAACCACTCATACTAAATATTCACTAGTGGCCAGCCTCACGTCTGCAGTGATGGGCTGGATTTAGACCAGAGAGTGAGTGAGCGGGTGGCTAAATTAAGTGAATAAAAAAGGAGGATGTGATGGGGACAATTAAAAGAAGAGAAACTAGGACAGAAAGCATGGGAAAGAAAATGTATGATTAGTGAGATAGTGTGCTGGAAATGAAAAAGAATACTTTCTATATGATGGTAATATTACACAAATGCAAGAGTGATTCTGACTTCTGATCACTTTGTTTGTTCAAGGATACATTTCCTCAAAGCAGTCGATTTGTGGAGGCTGCAAAATATCCAGAGCTGACAAAACCTGCAGACATAGAAAAAAAAACAAACATTTAGTCCATCTTTAATCCCATCTACAACAAACAATGGGTTTTTCCCTTTGTCTTGTTATTACATTGTCATGTTTGAAGAAGCAGAGCATCCTCAACTCTCTGAAGACCCTCTTACAAGAAACCAGGTTCTGGAAGACATTAGGCATCTTCTTCAAAGCCACCTTGCGACCGTCACGTGGATCAGTAACGGACCTGCAAGACATCAAGAATCATGGGCAGTTTAGACGTTTAGCTAGTTTGATGATGTAGTTTTGCAGACTAAACCCTCCTGTGGTTTGACATACTGCCAGTATAACTGTAGCAGAGAATAAATCTGCAAACAAATCTAATAATTCATTGTGGTATTTTCATGCACAAATACCAAACATTTGCTGGTTTCACCTTAACAAATTTAAGGATTTGCTGCTTTTCTTTGTCTTATATGAGTAATACCTGAATATTTATCAGGTTTTGGACTGTTGGTCTGACAAAACAAGCATTTTATAGATGTCATGTTGAGCTCTGGGAACATGCGAAGAACCAATCATCATCCAGGTAGGTACCTGTTTCCAATCACACCTCTACAATGATAAAATCAACTTACAGTGGTTTTACATTTAGGTTATATCTGCGTAGTAAGGCAGATAAAAGTGTAGATTGATTTGAAAGGCTATACCAGCCAACAACAATGCAAAATTTGATTGAAATTAAGGCAGGCATGACGTTCACTGAGATGAATAAATTGTTTCAAGATAGTTTGAACTCTCTGCAGAAATAAAAGGAGACAAATGGCTGCCTGGAAGACGACAACAACAACAACAACAACAACAACAACAACACAGAAATTCTTTAACACACTTGTATGCTTTAAAGTCATGGTCACCAGTAATGCGGACTATGCACATCTTAAACATTCAAAACAATGGTATGATCCTTAATTTATATTTACCAGACAACACCAAAAGCGCCATAACCAATGGGGCGGTCTGGCTCCATTTCTGCAGGGCTGGGCACCTCGCTGGCCGGGTTGCTGTAGGGCTGAGGCACTGCTGCTCCGCCGCCTGTGCTCCCTCCGAGAGCTGTGGGGTGACGAGGGGTCCCAGCCGGGGCAGTGGGTCCAGTCAGGCACGGCGTAGCACTGAGGCCCGTGGAGGGGGCTCCGCAGGAGGAGTTGACACAGAAATACTTGTGGCCCAACTCAGAGCCCGGAAACAAGTCTCCACAGACGGTCTGCCGGCCTGCACCGTGAAATGCCATCCCTCCTCTCACCAAACCCCAGAAACAGTCCACTTTGTCTGCACCGAGCTGCTGCTGCTAGGCGCGGAGGAAACACGGCTCCTTACTCAGCATGATTACTTAGTTTCCTGTGTGAACATACAGGAAAGACAATCACTGATAGTTTGGACAGAAATTCAACTAAAAGTATTGTCCTGTGAAAGCTCAGGCTAGTTTGGGGACATATTTTAGCAGACTGGATCATGTGCTGACAGCTCTCCTATAGTATAACACACTGTAAGCGCAACTGTAGCAGTCATTTAAGTAGCAACTCAACTTGATAATAGCTTGAGGTACAATTCCCAACACAAACACCAAATATTTGCTGGTTCTAGCTTCACAAATGTGAGGATCTGCTGCTCTCCTTTGTCTTATAGTATAAACTGAATAAATTTGTGTTTTGGACTGATGGTCAGACTAAAGACCTGTGATGGACATTTAATCGTTTTTAAAAAATATTATTGATAACAACATAAATAAAGCCCTAAGATACAAAAAATGTTAATATTCAAAACAGATTCTGTATCTTAACTACAAATCACAGTATTTTTTATTGCATTTCGAAGAGTTTGAGTATTGTGAGTTATTTTGGATCATCACCCAGGTTTACAGTCACACTAATGCACTGATAAAAATCAACTTACAGTGGTTTTACACTTATGTTTGTGTGGTAATGCAGTCTAAAGTTCAGACTAATTTGAGGGAGTGTTCTTTAATATCAGGCAACAGTAATGCAAAATGTGATGCTCACTGTGATAATAACTTGTTTTGAGTCTCTACAGAAAGAAAAGGAAACCAACGGCTGCCTGCCCTAGGGTGTAGAAAATTAAAATTTTATATGCTGTAATTTTTCACTACAAATCAAACACTTTTCATGACTGAACGTTATAATGTAAACAAGCAAGATGAAGAATGTGTTAACACTGCAGACACACAGAGGATTTATTAAACGTTAGCTAACATGTACTAACAAACATATTAAAAGCATGAAACATGTCGGACAAAGCTCACATAAATTCGTGAAACATGGTCACGAACGTGGCCGAACAAAATCACTGAGTCACACACTTGAAATCAGCGAGCTCAGTTACCTTTTTGTTTGCTCTTACCTGGTTAGTTGGTGAAGCTGCTCGGTTAACTGAGCTAACAGGATCCGGCTAGTTAGCCAAGTTAGCTAACGATGGTCCAGCGACGACTCCAAAACATGGAAAAAAATAAATGTTCCACTCGATGCTAGCCTCAGCCACACACGCTGCAGAGTAATCCGCACTAACAAAAGCATGTGCATTAACGTTATTGCCTTTCTGTTATTGATAACTGATATTTTAAAAAAATACCAAAGCAGCTAGCTACCGTGCTAACCAGCTGTTCCTGCTCATAGGTTACCCGATGATGACCCATATAACTATCATTGGTCGGGTACAGTGACCTACATATTATAAAAGGAAAACCTTTCCTTTACTAATATAATTTAATAAACGTAAGAACAAACGCTCTGTTAAATCAAAGATGGCATGGCACGGAAACTAATTTCATAGAGGCGAAAAAGACAGAGTTGGATGCGGGGGTCCGGAGCTCCAACCCCGGCTAGCCGACCAGCTAGCTGCAGCTAGCTTTAGACTGCTCGCTAGCTGGCCATCGCGTCGTAATATCCACCGATCAAGCGTCCCATAAAGGCAGTTTCTTGTGTTTTCTGAGTGAATACGTCTCATCCAGGAGGCCCTCAATGTTATTTTAAAGATTTCTGGCCGCTTTTACAGCGGCTAGCTGGCTAGCTAGTCAAGTAGGAGGAGCTAGTGAAGCCGGGTGGGGGAGGGTTGATGCTTTTCACCCTGCTGTAAACAATGCTAATGTTAATTTAGCTTCAGACAGTGGTGGAGGAAGTATTCAGATCACTTAGTGAAGTAAAAGTACCACAGAGTAAATGAATAAATAAGTAAATAACATACTTTGTTACAAGTAAAAGTCCTGCAATAAAAATGTTACCTAAGTAAAGATATCCATGTATAATCAAGAAAATGTATTCAAAAGTACAAAAATGTCCCCTGTGACTGTTTTAATATCATGCAATAATGTAAAAGCAGGATTTTTACTGTTGTAGCTGGCTGAGGTGGAGCATTTTGAACTATTCCCTTATGATTATTTTCATTCTGGATTAATCTGCTAATTATTTTCTCCATACATAAATAATAATAATAAAAAAAGAAATGACAATAGTGCCATCACAGTCACCAACAGCCCAAAGTGACACATTCACAGTATCTGTTTTGTCCAACCAACAGTTCAAACCTCAGCATTATTACAATTACAAGCAAAAGCAGCAAATCTTCACATTTGTGAAGCTGAGCCTTTAAATGTTTTTACATGAGAAATGACTTCGACATCAAAATAATGCCTAATATATTATCTTAGTTTACTAATTGATCAGACTTATGGTTTTGGCTGTACTTGTATAAATTGTTGGGGAGTTTAATTTATGACAAAACATCTTATTTTATAAACTCATATGTATAAATTCATCTGTTCAGAGTGAAAATCTCAATTAAAGCAATTGAAGTTGTCAGATAAATGTAGTGCAGTAAAGAGTACAATATTTCCCTCCGAGATGTAGTGTAGAAGTATAAAGTAAAATGTAAAGAAAAGATTCAAGTAAAGTAAAAGTACTTCAATGTGTACTTAAGTCCAGTACTTGAGTAAATGTACCTGGTTACATTCCACCACTGGCTTCAGGTGAACACCTGAGAAAATCTGGATAAAGTCCCCCAGACACTCATGAAGATCATTTCAACTTGAATCCACACATGCATTTTACTGCTTTTTTAATACAGTAGTAACGAGGCGCTATGCACTATGCATCAAGTACAATCAATATGCACAGCCACAGAAAAATGTGTCACCAAGGTAGCTACAAATTACATGGCAATTTACCTTTTTCAAGAATTACAAATCAGCATCCAGAGACAGAGCAAAGACCATATGAAGCAGAGAAGTTATGCACATTCAATGTTCATGGGGGAAATATACACAAACAACTATTAGTTTGCCTTTATCAGCTATATAAAAGTGTATATACATGATGGCCCATCTGAAACAGCTTATCTTGTGTCCTGTTAGGTTTCCCTGCTCTGAAGAATCTGACAAAGGCAAACTGGAGACTGTTTAGTAATAAATTAAGGGAGAAACTGAGATAAGTCATGTTGTGTCTTTAGGTCAATTTCCTCATTATAAATAAACACTAATATCATGGAATATAAATTATCTAAAAACATCAACAGCTTTACAAAATCATGACAGGCTGTGCAAGTTAGTTGACAATTCAAACAATGACATGATGGCAAATAGAAATAGCTAATTGCTAAGCCACATGAATAAAAATACACATTAATTTTCCTCCTTAATGAATGAGCGGAGGTTTTTCTTATCATTTTATCCACAGTCTCTTCCCTGGCTTGACTAATCTGATTTGCAAAGACACTGTACAGTTTGCAAAGTGTGTCTCTTAGTGTTGGTGGCAGGTCAGCTGTTTAACACTGCTGATGGAGCTGGAAACAAAAGGTCCGAAAGGGCCGCCATCCTCACAAAACCACAAGCAACGCTGAGGAGAAAAGACGACTTCCGTGGCAGCTTCTCCCAGTCTGAGTCCACTTCTGGCAGTCTGTTAAGAAATCATCTGAAAAGTAAAAACAAAGCAGTTCATGTAAGTTTCACACCTAACCATGCACATATTTATTTATAGACCATTACATCTTTTATTACAAAAGCAACTTACAGTTTTCCAGTGGTCTAAAAGGTAACAAGCTAGACTTCTGCATACTGTGGTGAAAGTATGATCACGCAGTGGTTTAGTGGTAATTGATGAGGTGGGTGTACTACTAGGTAGATAGAGGTTACTGATGAGGAAGTGGGCATACTCTCCTATATATTACAATGGCTTTTTAGCTGATAGGTGGGTATACTGTAACTGGATAGAAAAAGAAGTGGGTAGACATTAGTTGATTGTGCTGCAGAAGTGGTTTAAGGTTTACAAGACTGTTTGGATAGTTTCAATTAGGCTTAATCAGTTGAATTGTTTGGTTGGTTGCTATAATCCTTCCTCTTGTCCGTGCTAACTATGAGGGGATTTCTCTATGTCAGTAAACACTTAAACGACTGTAATAAGAGGACAAAATCCACAGTCATCGTTCTAAATTTCAGCAGAAGCTGTATGTAGACAAATCAAGTGGGTATTTTCAAGAAAAGGAAAAATACAAAAAGGAAATTTCATATGAAAAAGTCTAACTTCTAAAGATCCCTACTTTATTTGTCCAATTCAAGGCTGCAAACAACCAACATATTGCTCAACATGCACATGGCACGAATGTTGTTTCAAAATAGACTTCACAATATCCATTTATACAATGTACTTGATGAAAATGGCTGACAGCAGCCCTGCTGTAGATATCTTCAGTGTACGTATTGATTTACAGATCAGTGTCTATACCCCAACACCAGATGGATGTGTTGTACATGATCAGGTCATATCGTCCTTTAATTATAGTACCCAAATAACCGTGTTTACATTATTTCATTTACATTTCTTAATCAAAAGCCTGCTGCTGTGTAGTTGCTGTATTTCTGTTCTTTCATTCACTGGGACTAGAAAGTGGAGGTCACGGTGAGCAGAGGGTTTGCAGATATCTTTGTTAGATGTGCATTTTGAGACTTTTTTTCAACTTGCTTCATATTGTCTTTACTATTAATCTCCACTGATATCAGAAACTTATAGGCGGAAACGCAAGAAGTCCATCCTGACACATCCACTGTGATGGTGCTACACCAGCTATGTGCATATGGTGTGTTCCATTTGTAATCAGAAGTAAGAATTTCAGAGTGCCCAATAGGAAATTTCAATTGGAACGCCCCTGAAGTCAGATTTCCATCTTGGAAAGTCTGGGTAGCCTCACCAACCCCGACTAAGTAGGTATAACTGCAGCTGGAGCAGCTAAGTGACCCACCAGCTACATGACTCACCCACCATACCTACACACCAGTCTACGATCAGCCCCCTTCAGTTCTTGGCCCAGAGGCAGAAGTCCCAACGAAATTGTTAAGTTAGCGATTAGCTAGCTATGAAGTATTACGTTAAAAGAGAGGTGGTTAAGCTCAGGGTAAGGGTAATGGAAAGACTATGTCTCATTACTTAGGCTAATGCTAACTTAGCAATTAGCTGACGTTTGCTATGAAGTATTATGTTAAAGGAGAAGAGGTTAAGGTTAAGATAAGGGTAATGGGAAAGGTTATATCTCATTACTTATAAAATGAATCACATCTTCATGTATTTCGCTTAAAAAGTGGATTATTGCTACATTTGGTCTCATTTATTTAATATAGTGTAGCACTATAGCAGGGTTCAGATAATGTGTTTGATGTCATCCGCACTCTGACATCCAAGTGAAATGTAACACAGCAAAAGGCTCTGAAACTACACCTGATCCCGACACAACCATAAATCTCAGCAGTCTTTCCAAACCTGCATAATGTTTCAAGAGTACTCCCCAGATTTATCATTACATGACATTGTCGGATCCACGATGGATAGTTTAAAGGATCAGAATCAATGCAGCAGAACCAGAGATGTCGTCTTTTTTATTCCACACATTCTTCTTCCTAATCAAAACTGTGCCCCTACATTACCCACAATGCAACACTGACAATTGTGTGTCAGATTGTGGTGTGTTCTGCTGGCAGCAGCTATTGTAGTCTGGAGCCTCTAGCCTGCAGCAGTGATGAGCAGTGGGCTACAGAGGTCTCACTTCCTTCTAACTCCATACCTCCAGATATTTTTCATTTTCAAACTCGTAGTTTTTAGACCAACACTAACTCAAATGACATCATTTGAGGACATTGATCAGAATTCAATCAGACACTGAAGGCTTTATACAATATCTGGAAACATACACTGATGTGTAAAATCAAATGAGTTCTCATTTTAGAGCTTCATTTTAAATAAATAAAATGAAAAGGAACATGTTTATAGATTAATGACACACACCTGGATTGGATGTTGTCTTTCCTCTCCTCTCCTCCATGAGTCCGCGTATGCTTTTGCCTCCATTCAACCAGCTCCCCCCAACTCCATCCCCAGCCCCACCCGTCCCATCCCCAGCTCCCCCCCCTGCCCCAGCGTGCTAGCTGTGTGGCTGGGGAGCGATACTGGAGCAGTCAGTTACCAGCAGTCCCACTGTGCTAGCACTGGACACAGTAACAGCCACGCTGGTGGTGCCCACGGGGCCCGCGCTTGTCTGGTCGGGACCAGGGTCACCCTGGTTGGCGTGGGTGCCCATGTGGCCCTGAAGCTGTGTGGCCGTCTTGCACTGCACCCCGCACAGCTGGCAGAGCAGCACCCCGCCGGCCCCCGTCCCACCGAAGCCCCCCCTTGCCCCTCCGCTCTCCTTCCATTCCTGACCATGGTGCTTCTGAGCATGAACTCGCAGGTAGGTGAGGGTGGTGAAGCCTGGAAACATACAGACACTTCCTTAATAAAGGATTGTTTTTAAAAAGTTATACTTGTTATTTTATTTCAGAAATATTGCAACGTACTATCAATTATTATTTTGCAATAATTTCACATTTTGCAGAACCACGTTTGATGATATCACTGTCAAACTGGCCAAGTATTGTGACACTCCTTGAGAAATCCTGTGATTTTGCTGGTTGAAAGTACATTTATTCAAGTACTTAAGCACAATTTGAGGTACTTTACTTGAGTACTTCCATTTTATTCTACTTTATAAAGTAG